AATCCTGTTACAGTAACTTCCATTTTTCCGTAATGGAATCAACAGGCGATAGATAGTAAGGGGATATACAACAGGAGTTTTAAAAATTGCTCTTCTTCCTCAAAAGATTTCATTTGATTTTAAGGTGATGAACATTAAATTAAAATTGATTTTTTGAATACTTTCTTGAGATACTTGGAAGTGCTTGAGGAATCACAAAATCAGGGTTTGGAATATTAGATTATTACTCATAGTTAAGAATTCACTTTGAATCCTTTAAGCTCCTTTCATTTGAGATTCGAATCCTAAAATGATAGTCCTCAATTTCAGTATACCATTAATGACAGAAAGGCTAAAGAATTGCTTATTAATTGAAATAGAATATAAATGAAAACTGATTTAAGTAGAATGACTTAAATGCCTGATTTGTTGGGAAATTTCTGAGAGTAAAAAAGTGAAAGATCAAACTTTACTGTACCAATGAGCCTGTGTCATCTCAATGATTCCACTAAAAAACTCATTAAGTATGTAAGTAAATTGTTAATGCTTTTTATAGATAGAACGTATCTTAAGCTAACTATATGAGTTAGTTAAGCTTCATTTGTATGTGCAATACTTATTTTGACTATAAATTTTCACTATTTGAAATGATTTTCTTTTTTGTATCTTGTTATTTTAAGTTGATCATATCTTGTTTTGGTGTTGCCAACTTGGTTGGGAATGCAATCCCCAATTACAACATTTTTATGATGGGGAGAAAAAAAGATTAACTATTTCATTGAATATATATCTTGAATTTATGGGATCAGGGAAGAAGTAGAAGTTAACCATTCGGCCTAGTGCAGTGGCTCACACCTGTAATGCCAGCACCTTGGGTGGCCAAGGTGAGCAGATCACTTGAGGTAAGGAGTTCGAGACCAGCCTGGCCAACATGGTGAAACCCCCATCTCTCCTAAAAATACAAAATTAGCTGGGTGTGCTTGTGCATGCTCATAATTCCAGCTACTCGGGAGGCTGAGGCGTGAAAATAGCTTCAATCTGGGAGTTGGAGATTGCAGTGAGCCAAGATCGTGCCGCTGCGCTCCAGCCTGGACAACAGAGCAAGACTCTGTCTCAAAGATTAAAAAAAAGTTAACCATTCACCATGTTCCTCGTAATCACGTTTGTGTTTTGATTACCAGCTATTTATTTTTTCAAAGGGCTTTTTTTTAGAAATTGAAATACTAAGATGTATGTAGAATGAGTGTTTTTTCTTTTGTTTTCTTTTTCGGAGTCAGTCTTACTCTGTCACCGAGGCTGGAGTGCAGGGGCACAATCTCAGCTCACTGCAGCCTCGACCTCTTGCAGCTGAGACTTTCGGCAGGTGCCACCACTCCTGGTTAATTTTTTTGTAATTTTTTGTGGAGACGGGGTTTTGCCATATTGCCCAGGCTGGTCTTAAACTCCTCAGCTCAAGCCATCCTCCCACCTTGTCCTCCCAGAGTGCTGGGATTATAGGCATGAGCCACCGTCCCCAGCCTGAATTTTTTTTTTTTTTAAGTAGAAATGGTGTAAAGATACCTTATCTAAATACTAATTTTTCTATGTTGGTACTTTGGATACTTATTTTTTTCTATTATATTAGTAACATATAATTTAACAGTGTGTTACATTTATTTGAGGGTTAATAGTTTTTTTTTGGTGTATATTTTAATTCATTTACAAATGCTTTTTTAAAAAGATGAAAATGTGATAGGATAGATTTGACAGCCACAGTCTGAAAGGTGTGTTTATAAAGCTAAAATTCCATCATGAGAAATTTTACAGTAATGAAGATCTTACATGGTCATGTACCACATAATGATATTTAGGTCAACAATACACTGCATTCTATAATGGTGGTCCTGTAAGATTATAATGGACTGAAAATTCCTATTACCTAGTGATTTGTGTTATAATTGCCTGCAATATTCAGTACAGTAACATGCTATACAGGTTTACAGTGTATGATCAATAGGCCATACCATATAGTCTGGATGTGTAGTAGGCAGTACCATCTAGGTTTGTGTAAGTACCATAGACTCGATGATGTTTTCACAACTACCAAATCATCTAATGATACACTTGTCAGAACTTATCCCTGTTGTTAAGTAATGTGTGACCATATAACAAAATGATTTCTAAATGCTTAGCTGATAGCACATAAATTCCAGTGTAATAGAATTGAGATTACTTCTTTTTTTTTTCTAAGTGGAGTCTCCCTCTGTTGCCTAGGCTGGAGTGCAGTGGTGCGATCTCAGCTCACTGCAGCCTCCACCTCCGGGGTTCAAGTGATTATTCTGCTTCAGCCTCCTGAGCAGCTTGGATCACAGGCATGCTTTCACCACGCCTGGCTAATTTTTGTATTTTTGGTAGAGACTGGATTTCACCATGTTGGCCAGGCTGTTCGAGAACTCCTGACCTCAAGTGATCCACCTGCCTCAGCCTCTGAAAGTGCTGGAATTATAGGTGTGAGCCACCGTGCCTGGCCTCGCATTTTTTAAAATGGGATTTATTCCAGAGTTAAAAGTAGTTAAAAATTGTTGAGTGGTTTGTATGTGCCAGACACTGAGATGTGTTTTACATATATTATCTAATCTAATCTTCACTATAATCCTATGGCAGTAAGTCTTTTTATTTTACATCGAAAATGGTGAATGTGTATATAAAAAGGAGTAAAGCAAGGTACTAGCTTAACCAACTTGTCCAACATCATATGGGTAATAAATGATTTAGTCAGAATTTGAACTTCTTCACCATGTTTCAGTCTTCATGGTTACTAAATGTTTAAAATATACAATAGAGTTTTAGAGCTGAGTTAAGCCAGAATCTTTCAGTTGAACTATGAGTCTGAGATCTAGAGTTGAAAATGACTTGGCAGGAAGTTGTGGCCCTGCTGGTACTCTAACTTGGTTCTCCTGGTTTCTAGTGTGATATTCTTTAAATGTGCCGATACTACAGTTGTAGTTTGTGAAATTGCTTAATTTTTCTTTTATCAGTGAAGAGGACTATATCTAGTATATAGCACACCTATGTATATCGTATGTGCTCTGTACTAGATCACATGCAGCATTAATATTATTTAACACAGCAACATTACATCAAGGGATATCTGACAATGGATGAAAGTGAGAATTTCAGATAGTTAAAACACTTAGACACACATTTCCATTGGTTTCTAATTTTTTTAAAGAAAAAATGTTTTACTATAGTTTAATTTTAGATAAAAACTGTAACCAAAAATTTAAAAAATAGGAATTATAATTATTTATGTGGGCAGTGTCCATAAATGAATGGATTTTATTTTAAGTCAGTTGCTTAGAATTCATTTTTCCTCCATACAAATAGCATATTAAATATGAGCATGCATGTAATCTGTAGCTGAGTTAGTAGTTGAAGTTGAGAGTCCACTTTTTTTTTCTGGCTGTTTTATTTTATTTTTTGAGAGACAGAGTATCACTGTTTTACCCAGGATGGAGTGCAGCGTGCAATCTCACCTCACTGCAATCTGTACCTCCTAGGTTTAAGTAGTTCTCCTGCCTTAGCTTTCCAAGTAGCTGGGTCTATAGACATGTGCCACCATGCCCAGCTCATTTTTGTATTTTTTAGTAGAGACAGGTTTTTTTTTTTTTTTTGAGATGGAGTTTTGCTCTTGTTGCCCAGGCTGGAGTGCAATAGGGTGATCTCAGCTCACTGCAACCTCAGCTCACTGCAACCTCCACCTCCCGGGTTTAAGTGATTCTCCTGCCTCAGCCTCCCAAGTAGCTGGGATTATAGGTATGTGCCACCATGCCTGGCCAATTCTGTAGGAGGTGGGGTTTCTCCATGTTGATTGGCCTGGTTTTGAACTCATGACCTCAGATGATCCGCCTGCCTCAGCTTCCCAAAGTGCTGAAATTATAGGCGTGAGCCACCGCGCCCAGCTGAGGCAGGGTTTGACTCTGTGTTGGCCAGGCTGGTTTCAAACTCCTGACCTCAGGTAATCTGCCTGCCTCGTCCTTCCAAAGTGCTGAGATTGCATGCATGAGCCCCTGTGCCTGGCTTTCTGGCTATCTTAAAGAGTCAGCTCTGAGCTAGGCCTTTGACGTCCCCATTACATATCTTTGCTGGATATACCACTTCTCTGGCTGCTGATTTAATCTTTCATAGAATTCTGTGCTTTACCAACAAAATTCTGAATCCAGTAGATACTTATATGATCACTTAAAAACATTATATATATGTCCATAGGAAATGTAATTGTGAATCTTAAAAATATTCTGTGTTCTTGGTATTGGCAAGTTCTTAATGTGAAGCAAGAATTATCATGTATTTTATCTGAAATAAGTCTTATACTGTTGCTAGCTTAGGGACAAACTACAGCTATGCAAAAATTGAGTTAAAGAGATTTTTAATAGTCCGACTTTAGAACTAGGGGATAGTTAAACACAGGATTCAATAGTGTCTCTTGGGATAGTAACTCAGAATACGTGAGTTTAATAGCAATAACTTCTGAAATTAAGTAATAATTTTTTTCCTTTGTATTCAGCTTACATAATTTGTAAGCAGAAAAGTAGGAAAGCTTGCTTTTGTCAGACTAAGGATAAAGTGGAATGTGAAGGTTGAATTAGTCGTGTATTCCACTGTTTTAGATTTCCATTGTTTAATTTTTGATGCTTTTGACTTTATAACTCAGTTTTATAAAAGCTCGTTTAGTATGTAAAATTTATGCTATTGCATGTGTGTGGAAATTCAAGAAACAAATTCCCACTTTGAATAAAGCAATTCAAATGGTTTTTTTTTTAAAGTGTTTATTGGCCAGGCTGTGGCTCACCCTTTAATCTCAGCCCTTTGGGAGGCCAAGGTGGGCGCAGGAATGAACCAATTATGTAAAATGAACTGTATGTATATATCAGATATATCAAACAAAAATTGACCTCTGTATAGGAGAAAAGATTAAATTAAGTATGTATACATTTAATTTAATGAAGTTCACCCTCATAGTTGGTGTTTTTATTTTTTAGGAAGGAAAACAGAAGTAACTTGCTGCATTGTCTGGAGTTACATGGTGAGTTGAGAGATTAAAGTTAGTTCCAGTAATTTGTGAATCCCAAGTTTCATGTTTCAATATTTGGTGTTACTTATAGTGACTCATAAAATTGACTGATGTCATATGTCAGTACTTAGGTGACAATTTACAGAAAGTCATCTCTGCAGCTTGATGGGCGACAACTCTTTTCAACCAAAAAGTAAGTGTTGCTGCCACAACTAATACTAGTATGTGTGGCTTTCGTATAACTTTGCTTCAGGAGAAAGGATAAAAGTCGGGAGACATTTTTTTAAAAACAAAAATACTTAAAATTATTAAAGTAACAAATGTTCACAGAAAAACAAGTAATGTAAATAAAAAAGTGAGTAAAATAGAAGTGTTTTTCCCATTACCAGAGGGAACTACTTTTACCAGTTTGGTCCATGTAATCATATATGTTTCTTCTGTTCATAGACAAAAAACAAATTATTTCTAAAAAATTATAAAGCTATTCTGTGTTAAAAATTCTTTTTCTCAAAAATATATCCTGGATATATTAGCAGTGGCAGGTTTTTTTCCCACAAAAAAGATTAAGGAAGACCTTTGCATACTATATTAGTTGGCTTAGGGCTGCCATAACAAAAGTATCACAAACTGCATGGCTTACACAGTAGAAATTTTTTCATAGTTCTTGAGGCTAGAAGTCCAGGATTGAAGTGTTGATAGGACTGGTTTCTTCTGAGGGTTCGAGGCCTCTCTTCTTGACTTGTAGATGGCCATCTTCTTTTTTTTTTTTGAGACAGAGTCTCACTGTCACCCAGGCTAGAATGCAGTGGTGTGATCTCAGCTCATTGCAGCCTCCTCCTCCTGGGCTCAAGTGATTCTCCCGCCTCAGCTTCCTGAGTAGCTGGGACTATAGTTGTTCAACACCACGCCGAACTAATTTTTAAAAATAGTTTTAGTAGGGACTGGGTTTCACCGTGTTGGCCACGCTGGTCTTGAACTGCTGACCTCAGGTGATCCACCTGCCTTGGCCTTTCCAACTGTTGTGATTACAGGCGTGAGCCACCATGCCCAGCCTCCATTTTCTCCTTATATCTTCACATGGTCTCCTTTCTTGCATGTGTCTGTGTCCTGTTCTCCTCTTTTATTAAGGACACCAGACACATTGGATTAGGGCCCACCCTACTAACCTTATTTTAATTTAATTACTTCTGAGGACCCAATCTCCAAATATAGTCACATTCTGAGGTAGTGAGGGTGAGGACTTCAACATAAGAATTTTGAGAAAACGCAGTTCAGCCTGTATAAATGATACTTTCCTCATCAGTATATGAGTCTCCCTAATTGTTTGAAATACACATTTTCGTAATGACTTTACCTAGTCCATAGATTATTATATGCTGTGTGCCTACTGCCCTCTAATGTGTAGGGGGAAATATATTCCTATCTGACCTTGGACATACAAAACTAAGACACATGAAAAAATAGTGAACGGTTTGGGCTCATATATGTTAAATCTTGAATTGTATGATATTGGTTGTTAATGTAATTTATATTTTGAAGGAAAGTAAAATCTAATGGTTTACAAGGGGAGTCATAATTGAACCAAGAGTTAGGAGGGGTAGGGAATTAATATTTTGTGAAGTATCCACTTGAATTTAGGTGCTTTATATGGCATTTTCTTGAATCTATGTAATCTACTAGTTAGATATCATACCTGTATTATAGATGAGGAAAGCAGGTTCAAGTAACTTTTCTAGAGTCATATGATTAGAAACAATACAGTAAAGATTTGAATTATTCAATTTGATACAAAGTCTCTGCTGTCTTTGCTCCAGACTGGAATGTTATAGATTGTATAGCTGAGAAGGAAAGACACTCTGAGTAGAAGCGGTGGTATAAATAATCTCTGAGACACAATAAGGCTGGTGTTTCAAGTATTTAAAAACGCAAATGCTAAGTTATGACTTGCCAATGAAAATTAATATTTTTAATTATTAGATTTTAAGAACTATGCATAATTAGTAAAATAGTACAGCTTAGAGAAAAAAGGGGCCAGTTCTTGATATTGATGGTGTTTAGGAAAATGGGAAGGCCTTTTTTTTTGGTAGGTGGATTATACTAAACATTTAAGTAACAAGACCAGGAAATGATTTGTGATATTCTTCTTGTGAGAAATATCTTCTTTGCCCTTAATGGAATAAGCCTAATTCATTTTCCATATCTTATTCTAGCATCTCTTTCCTGCTGTGTTCTGTGCCTGGCATTTTTGTTTGTTTGTTTGTTTCTTTCTCTTGAGATAGAGTCACCCAGGCTGGAATGCAGTGGCGTGATTTTAGCGCACTGCAACCTCCGTCTCCCAGGTTTAAGCAATTCTCCTGACTTAGCCTCCCAAGTAGCCCATCTAATTTTTGTATTTTTAGTAGAGATGGGGTTTCACCATGTTGGCCAGGCTGGTTTTGAACTCCTGACCTCAAGTAATCTGCCCACCTCAGCTTCCCAAACTTCTGGGATTACAGGTGTGAGCCACCACTCCCATCCTGCCTGGCATTCTTGAATCTGGTTTAGTTTATCCAGTTTATCTCCCACCTGTTTCCTCTTATTCTTAGTTTATCTCCCTTTTGTTAATACATTGTTGAAAAGAAAATGGTTAGATATAATCCTTTTTGTAGTGATAATCATATTCCATGTATATGACTGAAACTCACTTTCACTGGATTTGACTCACTTTCACTGGATTTTCCGCCCACTGTAAATAACTACTGTCATCCATTATCTGTTTATCTGAATTTTTCTGTTTAATATCTTAGAGAGTAAGCTCTGCGTTTCTCACTGTTGTTAGCACATACTGACTACAAATGTCAATTCAGAAATTGCTATTAGGATTATTATAGTACATCTTAAATATTATGTTATATATTACAAAAATGTTTTTATTTTTAAAAATGAGGTTCACTTCTCTCCTTTTGAAAATTAGGTAATTCAAAAATGGCAGAACTGTTTATGGAATGTGAAGAAGAGGAGTTGGAACCATGGCAGAAGAAAGTAAAAGAAGTTGAGGATGATGATGATGATGAGCCAATCTTTGTTGGAGAGATATCAAGTTCAAAACCAGCAATTTCAAGTAAGCATTTACTTTTAGTAAAGCCAAGCTTTATGAGGTGTTATTTCTAATGGGAACACTTGTGAAGTGTTTAACAGGTACTTGATGTTCATGTTCCACTGTAAAGAGTTAGGTCTGAGAGATTGGGTGTGAGGCTAGTAAGAACTTGAGAATCAGGATGGGGATATGATTGGGGACTTGAGGAAGGAGGTAAGAGGTTAAATATCAGATGTCAGAAAAGAGAAATGAACTGAGATTAGCTGGTGACCTTGGAGGTCTTCTGAGATTAGAAGTCATAATTTTTAATGGAGTTAAGTAACTTATTTATTTATTTATTTAGAGACAGAGTCTCATTCTGTCGCTAGGCTGGAGCACAGTGGTGCAGTCATGGCTCACTGTAGCCTCAATCTCCTTGGCTCAAGTGATCCTCCCACCTCAACTTCCCGAGTAGCTGGGACTATAGGTGCGTGTTACCATACCTGGCGAATTTTTGTATTTTTGTAGAGACAGTCTCACAATGCTGCCCAGGCTGTTCTCTAACTCCTGAGTAAGTGATCCAGCCTTGGCCTTCCAAAGTGTGCTAAGATTACAGGTGTGAGTCACTGCACCTGGCCTTAAGTAATGTATTTATCTGTTTACCCTTTTTTATTTTTCTCACTTAAATCCAGAAGAAGAGAAAATAAAACATTTGGAATGCTTCGCTTAAAATGTCAGAATATACTAAGTGAGTTTTTGTTAGTCCTGAGTGAGACTTCTCACATCCAGGCCTCATTGCAGTGTCATCTATACATGGCTACAAAATGTATAGGTGATGAATGATTGCACAGTCTCTGGCCTGTGTACCAACAGAGGCTGTAGTTTCTGACCATATCCATCTTCCAGCAACTCCTATTTATATTCATGAAAAAGAATGGCATTGTCTATAGCCACTGTACTTGGATGGGTTAGCATTTAGTACATCTAAATTCTTAAGGCTTTTGGGCAGAGCAACTTGGTACCTTTGTGGCTTATTAGCTTTAAATTAGAGAATTGGACTTGACATTGTGATAATGTTAAAGTACAGATACTGATGACATTTGTTAAAATGCCCACTCAAAAATGTATGATAGAGTGCAGAGAAATAATATAAAAATTTCAGAGAAAAAAGATCTTTTTCCATTTTATTTACTCGTTTGTTTGAAGCCAGGAGAATTTACCAAAGAATGTGATGTACCCATTTTAGTAGTCTCTGTGTGTGTGTGTGTGTGTGTGTGTGTGTGTGTGTGTGTTTACTTACCATGGTAGTGCTTCAAAGTGTCATTAAGAGACTACTTAAAAATTTTCTGAAAGCCTAGTTCTCACTTTGCTTACCTCTAAACTTGGATTGGCACCTTTATTCAGTTTTATCAGAGAGAGAATAATTTCACTAGTTGAATTTTTAATACCATTTTCTATAGCAAATTGGTCATCTCTCATGGAGTGCTAAGGGGAGTGCTGCTTGGGTTATCAAGTGAATTAGGCATCATGGCATCTTTGGTGATAGTGAAATATAATATTCTCGTGATTATTTCTTTATACTGAAATATATTGAAAAATTATTCAAACTCTTATTGAAAACATGACAGTTGAGTTTCAAGCTGAATTTATACTGATTGTAGATGACTGTTTATGGTATTCAAGTAGAAGAGTGTACATTAGTTTTAAAATAATTCCATCAAGAAGGGGATTGACTGTAATAGAATTTCTTTTCTACAATATTCAGGTTGATAATTTAAATGGTTTTATTGTTGTCTTACGTGTAAGCCATACAATTGTTAACATATGGAACATGAGTTAAATATTTATGTAAAACTTTGAGAAAGGAGGACAAAAACTTGTGGTCCATAGACTACAGCTACTAAAAAGCACTACAGCAATAGTTCTTTCATGGTTTGAATAAATATTGAATCCTGAATTTCTAAGTGAAAAACTGTCAAGTTCTTTGAGCAGATTTTTCTCTAATAAGACTTCTGTAGTGTTTAATTACAGAGCACTGCATTGACATTGTCAGAAAACAACCATATTTTTGTGTAAATCATTGTTTTATATAATGACTTAATGGGATCTGGTTTCTTTGTACTGTGAGGAAGATAAAATAAATTTTTTTGAGATGTGGTGGATTTTTTTTTTTTGGTGCTTTTTACCTTTTTCTAACCAGCGATTTTAGGCAAATCCTCATGCTTCCAAATTATAGTTTGATAAGCTAGAAGTTACAGAGTCTACTTGTATGCAAGAATGAGAAACTTTAAACTGATCCTCAAAGTCGTGGCAGGCTCAGATTGACTTCTGGTGTAGTGGTAGATTTGCAGCCTCTTAAGTAATAATATACTGTGATAAATTGTTGGTTTACTTTAGACTGTAATCTGTTAGTTTTTCTTTTTTAACTTGAAACTAATAGTAGATAATCCAATGAGATTTTCTATAATGGAACTTCAAGGTGTTTAGAGGTGTGAATGCAGTGTAGAGGTTGGGCAAGAATTTGATTTTGAATCATAGGAACCTGACTATATGTACAACCCTGTCATCATTGAAAGAAAGATATATACTTAAATTATAGGTTGAATATAAATACATTTTTGGAAAACTTTTATTAACTATGTGGACTATTTCTTTGCAAGCACAGTGTTTTGACTCACATGTAGTCAGATTTGTCATTCCCCTACTTCTGGCTTTTGAATTTTGAGTTGTAACGAGAAAGATTGTTCTTAGTCTATAAAACAATTAAAGCTGGTTATCTATGTATGTGTTTAAAATGAACTCTATTCTTAAATTAGTGATTAGTTATATACTCCTTCCAGAAATCTGTTTACATGTTTTCAATTCATGATTTCTGTTATCTTAATATGTATTTCATTCAAACAATGAATTTTAAAATAAATATAATTTTTTATAGATATTTTGAACAGAGTTAACCCCAGCTCATATTCAAGGGGACTAAAGAATGGTGCACTCAGTCGAGGTACAGTATTATTGTACTATTTTAATTTTAAAGTGAAGTATTTTGACAAAATTGATTATGTACAAATAATTTCAATATATTCTGTTACTTTAAAATACAGGTATTACTGCTGCATTCAAGCCTACAAGTCAACACTACACGAATCCAACATCAAATCCAGTGCCTGCCTCACCAATAAATTTTCATCCTGAGTCTAGATCTTCAGATAGTTCTGTTATTGTTCAGCCTTTTTCTAAACCTGTAAGTGTTTCTAAAACTATACAGCCAGTTCAGGGATCCATTGGATATTATTTTTCAATATCAACAGTACCCAGTTAAACTTCTGGACTGTCATAAGTAGTCATCCAGTAGAAGCATAATTAGTATAAGAAAATGTCACCATATTTTTGGTAGCTCAAGCACTACTCAAAGTAATAACCGAATGAGCTAACTACCCAACCTGTTAATAAATCAGGCAGTATGCCTAAATAGGTACAATAATGAAAACTGTGCCACCAAAATATGAAGAAAATTATAATCAGTAATAAATATTACATAATGGCAAATATTTAAGATTGCAAACTGAGCCAGATATTCTTAATTGGGAAAGTAATTAAGAGACCATCGTAGCTTTTTATAACATCCCTTCATAGTTCAGTTAAAAAAAAATTTTTTTCCCTATTACAAAAAACTCCCAATTTTTTTCTGTTACAAAAAGTAATAGAAAGTGATAATAGTTAACATTCATCGAGCTGTTAATATATATAAGGCTTTGTGCTAAATGCTATAGGTAAATTTATTTCATTTAGTTCTTAAACATCGCCATGAAGTAGACACTATTATTATCCTCATTTTTTAGTTGAGGAAACTGAGGGTCATAGAGATTGAAAGATTTACTCAAGATCCCAAAGCTGGCAGTTGATGGATCTGGATTTCAATCCAGCATAACTTATAGTTTATATGTGTATGCACACATACATACATATATGTTGTACATAAATGTACACTTAGAAATGAAAGAATTGCCTTGGTTGAACAGTTCTCAGACTACAGTTTGCAATCCCCTGGGGTTCCCCAAGACCCTTTTAGAGGTTTGGGAGTCAACAGTGTTATCATTATAATTACAGACTGTTTTCCACCGTCTTGACATTTGCACTGGTGATGCTGAAGTAATGTGGGTAAGCTGCTGGTGCCTTAGTGTGCCTCAAGATAGTGCCACCAAACTGTATATGTAGTTTCTGAATTAGTCACCTGCCATGCACACCCAGTAAACTGTATTAGTCAACTGAGTGTTACTTGGTTATACCCAGTTTCTTTGATGAAGTATTAAAATGTTAATGGTTTTATTAACTGTCCACACTTGAATATGCGTCTTTTAAGATATTCTGTGTGATGACATGGGTAGTATACATAAAATACCTTTGTGTTTGAAGTGTGATGGTTGTCTTGAGGAAAAGCACTTTTGTGATTGACTTGTGAGGTAAACTGCTTTATTTATTTTTGGGTTGTTAATAGAGCACCATTTTTACTTGAAAGAATGACTGACAAACCATGGTGTATTAGTTATTTACTTCTGTGTATCGGTACTACCACAAACTTACACAGCTTAGAACAACCTACACTCCTTATCCCATGGTCTCACAATTTCTGAATCAGGTCATGGCTTAGGTGGGTTTTTTGCTTAAGGATCTCACAAGGCTGCATTCAAGATGTGGTCCCTGAAGTTGCAGTTTCATCTGAAATTCTGCTGGGGAAGTGTTTGCTGACAAATTCACATGGTTGTTGGTAGCATTCAGTTCCTTAAGGTTGATTGTTGGACTGGGAGTATCTTGTTGGCTTTTGGCTGTCTCCTCGCCAGGTAGGTCTTCCCAATAAGGCTGCTCGCTTCCTCAAAGCTAGTAGGTGAGGGTGAGTCCTTAGCAAGATGCCCTTATAGTCTTAGGTAACATAACTATGTACACAAAAATCATATCTATCTTGTCACCTTTGTTGTATTCTGTTGGTTAAAAGCAAGTCAGAGGTCCTGCCCACTTTCGGAGGAAGGGAATTACACAGGACGTGAATACCAGGACCTGGGGATTATGGGTAATGACATTTCCATGGAGGCCACTTTAGAGTCTGTCTGCCACACACACTTACTCAATATTGATTGTTTGGCAAATGTTTCCTCAAACCTGTCACTTCAGCGAAAACAACTGATAGTAGTATTTCTTGCCGATGGTAAAATTTGAACTTTCAAGCAAAACCTCATTTGCCACCGTGATCTTGACAGCTTTCGAATACTTCAAGACTTTTCTGATGATTGGTGGCGTTGATAAATAATGATTTTAAAAATATTGTGTAATGAACTATGTCACCATTTGGAAGACCTGTATAAATCAATGAAACCAATATTTTCCAAATAACTAGAGTATATGCCTCAAAAGTATTCATGGGTAAATGATCCATCTGAGATAGACCATTGATTTTAAGGGAACAAGGTGTTCTGGGATATGCTTTCAGATTTCACACTGCAACAGACCTTTTTGAAAGTACGAACTTTCAGTTTTGGTATAGTATCAAAGTAGTATTTCCACAGTTAATTAAAACCCTATTAAAACACTCCCTCTTCCAGTTACATTCCTAATGAGGCAGGTTTTAATAATATTCTTCAACCAAAACAACATGTCCTAGCCGATTGAAGGCAGAAGCAGATAAGAGACTAAAACAATTTTTGATTAAACTAGATATTTAAGAACTTTGCAAAGATATGAAACAATGCCACTCTTCACTATTTTTTGTGTGTTTGCAAGTCATTTTTCATTAAAATGTTATTTATATTAATCTGTAATGAATTTGTTATTTAAAAATTAATAAATAAATGTTCTAAAATGTTCTCTGTTTTAATTTCTAGTATGGAAATTATTGATAGATATAACCAATGTAAACAAAAAGTCTTTTTGGGTTCAACAATTTTAAAGTGTGTAAAATAGTTCTGAAGCCAAAGAGTTAGGGCACCACTGTCTCAGAAAAGTAGTAGTAAATTTTCCTAAAAATGTATTTTCTTTATATAATAAGAACAATAAGGGAGACTGCTCAGTCTCTATCTTGAATCATCTATGATCTAAGGTTCCACAGGCTATTTCTGATGTTTTAAAAAATGTAATAGGTGGCCAAGCGTGGTGGCTCATACCTGTAGTCCCAGCACTTTGGGAGGCTGAGGCGGTTGGATCACCTGAGGTATCAAGAGTTCAAGACCAGCCTGGCTAGCAGGGCAAAACCCTGTCTCTACTAATAATGCAAAACTTACTTGGGCGTGGTGGCATATACCTGTAATCCCAGCTACTTGTGAGGCTGAGGCAGGAGAATCACTTGATCCTGGAAGGCAGAGGTTGCAGTGAGCCAAGATCACGCCACTGCACTTTAGCTTGGGTGACAGAGTGAGACTCTGTCTCAAAAAAAAATGTAATAGATGTTCTTGAAGATAGCTGGAAAGCTATCCAGAGTGTAACAATTCTTTGCTATTAGTTGGAATCAAATTAACTCAGTGGTTTTCTCATGCTTATTATAAGCTGTTTGGCATTTGAGAGAAAAAAAATTGGAAAAAGAACATTATTTGATAGTTTGTTAGGTAAAAATCTTTCCAACATTGGACCCAGGGAGGGGAAAACAAAAGCAAGAGTTGTTATGTTTGGTGTAATAAGAGTTAGAAATCAGATTATTTTCTGCCTCAGAATTGAACATAGTTTTTAAATCAGAGCACCTTAGTTCATCATTCCCAGTCCTTGGGTTCTTTTAAAAAATAAGAGGTTTTGCCAGTTGGTCTGGCAAGGACCCAGAAGTGATAGCTTCTTAAAAATGCTTCAAGTGTAATTCTTACGCACAGTCCAAGTTAAGAATGAAAGAGGTGTATTCTGGAATAAATTGAGAATCCTGGTTAAGGGACTTTTCTCTGACTTTTGGAAGCTATGTTAATAAATTATAATTAGTAGTTTTTCATTTTATGTCATTTTGTATTTGTGATTTTACTTTTCATGAAATGTATCTCAACATTGCTTTCAGGTTGGCAGGGATGTGATATATTATTATCACCTAGAAAGTCAATGTGATACAGCTTAAGGTCATGGGCTTTGTAATCAGTCAGACCTGGTTTCTAATTCCAGCTCCATTAGCAGCAAGTGGGGCTGTATTGGGAGCCTTACTCGACCACACCTAACCTTAGTTTACCTATTTATAAAATTGGGAATAATATTAGGTCTTTATTAGTATTATTGTGATAGTTGCTTGATATGATACATGCACCATGAAGAGCATGTACATTTAAAACAAACAACTGTGGCTATGATTTAGTTTGAAAGGCAAATTACTTGAAATTCAGAAGTAACTGTTACATTATTTCACAGATATTTGGAGAAAATGTTTACTTTGAAGTAGGATTATGTTTTATTACTGTTAAATCATAGGGCATATGATTTTTTTTTTTTTAAATGCTACATGTTAAAGCCCAAATGCCTACATCTACCTATTAGGCCTCAAATTCTAGAATTAGTTTGAGTTGCATTAATAGCTTATTTCCATAACTTCTTAACAAACCCACATCAATAGAAAAGTTGGTAACAAAGCAGAATTCTCCAAACTTAAATATTCCTTAATTTATAATAATAAAAGCTTTAGATTTCTCTTATGAAATAATATATATTTTGGGAGAGATTTTGGAAAAGTGAGAAGAGGACCATATAGTATACATAAATACATATTTCTGTATCTGAACATTATTTCTGTATACTGAACATTCTACTTGGAACATGTTACTGGGTATTCCTTAAAAAAAAATGTTAATTTGGCCGGGTGCAGTGGCTCATGCCTGTAATCCCAACACTTTGGGAGGCCGAGGTGGGCGGATCATGAGGTCAAGAGATCAAGACCATCTGGCCAACAGGATATACTGAAAATATTTAAATACTACTTTTAGTACAGGATTATACTAAAAATACAATTTTAAAATACTATTTTTAGTACAACAGGATTCTACTAAAAATACAAAAATTACCTGGGCATGGTGGCACACGCTGTCCCAGCTGCTCAGGAGGCTGAGGCAGGAGAATCGCTTGAACCCAGGAGGCAGAGGTTACAGTGAGCCAAGATTGCACTGCTGCGCTCCAACCTGGAGACAGAGTGAGACTGTGTCTCAAAAAAGAAAAATAAAGTGATGTTTTTGCACAATAGTTTATTAGTTTAATCATTTCTCCATTGTTAGACATACAGGTTATAATTGTTTTGCTGTTATAATTAAGTTTTCCTTCAACATTTTTATTTCATTACCACAGATTATTAAAAATGGAATAGATAAAAGGTGAACCTTTTATTTTTATTTTTTTTTTTAACATAAACTCAAGATTTTATTGTCTTTATAAAAGAAGAGATGATGCTTAGAACTGGATCACTTGGCCTCTTCTCTTATCTCCTCCCAGTTCAAAATGCTTGCATCTTTTAACAGCCAGCATTCTCTTGGATTTGCAGTTGGGCTCAACGCACTGAGGCCTTATTTGTAGTTTAGCCTTTTCCCAGAAAATCGGCTTAGTTTGCCCACCGTAGCCGCTCTGCTTCTTGTCCTAACACCGCTCTCCCTGGGCATACAGAGAATCCTTGCCCTTCTTGTATGGTGTAACTTTGTGGGGTTGGTGCTTGCCACACTTCTTACAGAAAGTCTGGTGGGTTTTAGGAACATGACCACTACCGGCACGGAGAGCGGAGGTGAACCTTTTCAAGGCTCTCCTAGCTACTGCCAAAGTTTTTATGCAGATAAATTGTACTAAAATATGAGCTCGACTTTGCCAATGGTGAATGTTACCATTACTTTTTGATTCACACTAATCTTAGACACAGAAAAAATAGTGCAAACAGTTTTCATATACCCTTTACCCAGTTTCCCGTTATGTTAACATTTTATCACTACTGGGTAATTAACATTAATTCAACTATAGACCTTTACTGGAATTTCATCAGTTTTCCCATTAATGTTCTTTTTCATGCCCAGTATCTTATTCAGAATCCCACCTTGCAGTTATTTCTTTTTAGTCTACTCTATTTTCTAGTTATTCATTCTTTGTCTTCCATTACCTTGAAAATTTTAAGAGTAGTGGCTAACTAATTAATTTTATAATCGATATTATGGTAATATGCCAATTTATTCATTAAACATTGCTGTTTTATTGCATTTCTTTGGCTAGGAATTTGGAAAAAAGGTATTTTGTATGTGTTGTTCATTTGTATTTCTGAATTCTCTTAGTTTGTGTCTTTTGCCCATATTTTTCCTAAACTGATGGTCTTTTTTCTTTTAATTTTTAGTCATTATTAATCTTGAAACTTTTCTTGTTATATATTATGACATGTAGAATGGCCTGAAACTCACTCTGAGAGCTTATTGTCCACGATGAGTATCTTTTAGAAGTATTAATAGTATTGGAGTTTATTTGTGTATGTGTGTATCACTATATTTAATGTATTATAATATTGGAGTATATGTCCCCAAATTATATTGACCATACTTTTCATAATTATGTACACTAAATGTATATGTATGCTCATAGATATTATACATTTATGCTGCTTTATACTTGACCACATTATCATTCATCTCATACTTTCACTCCTCTCTTCTTAAGATCTTCCTTTTAGTTTGGACCACCCTTTCTCCTGATAGAAGGGTAAAACTTCCTTTGCATCCGGAGGCCTCCAGGAACAGGACAGCTGGCCCAAATTACTTCTATAAACAACTTCTATTCTAAACCCTGTCTGCCTGGCGTTCTTACTTGTTCACTCTACTGACCCGATGCTTTTGTATTTGACTGATGAGACAGAAGATTCCTGGCCTGCCGTGGCTTTCTATGGGATGATGGAACATGTGTGGGGCCCATTTGTTCTCCTTCTGACGTATAGCTTTTAACCTTTGTCCAATAAAGATGATTTCAAAATTCATATTATGTGATATATTCATCCTTAACACTGATGCACACTACTGTGGATTGATTCCATTTGTTTGCCCTGATATCTCAGATGTGGGGTTTTTAAAGGCGTAGAAGCTTTTAATTTTTTTGATCACATCAATATGGTTTTTATTTTTCTCCTTGCTTTTGCCCAAAGATTTTGCTAAGTTCTGTTATTTGCCCTTTAATGGGGATACTGCGTCTTTTGAAGTTGTTTACAGGGTATCAATCTTATTGATATAACGTTGGTTTATGTTTCTTTTACCTTGAAAAAGTTGGACTAAGAATTTGTCCCCCATTTTAGTTTTCTAGTCAGCAGTAAACCAGCTCTAAATAATAGCTTGCTTTCAATTTCAGTAGATGATCATTTTGGCAAAGTAGCAATTATCTTTGTGTTATTAACTTATTAATAATTGAGTCATCAAAGGGTTTCCCAAGAATATTGGGCAAGCAATTAAGTTTACCTTTATAAAAGTCTACAGAATAAAATTCCTATATAATTATATAAAATTACATAATATATAATTATATTGAAATAATTTTAACTGTTGAATAAATGTATTATTTTTCCTTTGAACTATTTAACAGGGTTATATAACAAACTCATCACGAGTTGTGTCTAATAAGTCGTCAGAGTTACTGTTTGACTTGACCCAGGATACAGGGTTATCACGGTTATCACATTACCAAGGGAGACCAACACTTTCTATAGCAGGTTGGTTTTAGTATTTTTTTTTTTTCATAAAGATTATAAAAAGAAACTTGATGAATATGCATGTGAGATTGGCTTTCTGTTTTGAAGCCCCGCCCTTGTGGGAAGTGTATCATGTATTGTAAGGTGGAATGTCACTAGTAGTTCTTGAGTACCTTTCTTGGGTAATTTTCTGTAAAATCCTGTTTAATGACAGAATATTTTATTTCTTCCTATTAAGTAACCAACTTTAAGCTCATTCTCACTTGGAGCTAACCATAGTTGAGAAATATTAAAATAATTTCTGTGAGTTAGAGAACTTCTCAGCATAAATACTCTGTTAAAAAAAAAGGATTCGTTTCTTTGGACACTAAGTGTGAAAAATACATGGTTACAGTTGATTTCTTAATTAGTTTAATGTCTTTCTCTTGTAATATATTGTTTCAGCATGATAGTTGAATATGAGTATAAGGTGGTATTATAAACTGCCCACAATAAATAGTGATTTGCACAAAATAAGTAATTAATGTACATTGAAGGATTAATGAACTTTCCCTGTTGAACAACATTGAAGGTTCTTTGATTGTATACTATAACAAAGTTTTTCATTAATCTAAAATAAATTAGGGTATTACAAAAGAATTTTATCTAATTGAAAAATCAAGGCAATTCCTCTTTGTATATTAGCAGTTTGTATCCAAATATTTGACTAAATAGACTTATACGTGATTTTTTTGGAATTTTTGGATTCACTAACAAATTAGTGTGGAGAATGTACCAAACCCTCTCCCAGTTTTTGTAATAGTAATACTAACTTTTATTATAAACTTAGACTGTTTTTCCATTGTGATAATACTTGATTTGTTATTCACCTCTCTGGGTGTCAGTTAATTATTTAGTAACCATCTGATTTGTGAAATAGTTAAGAATCAAAAGAAACACTGAGAAAATATAGTTGTCTTAAGTCTAGTTTTATAAAGCATATAGTCTTTATTATAGAGAAAGTCTGAATTTTTGAAACTTCTTGGGAATAAGGAGAAATAATGATTCCTGTTATTCCTGTAAGTGTTCTACTTCAGAGTGGGACTTTAGCCTGAGCAGTAAGTAGGATGATTTGATCCTCTATCCCTAAGATTTCTTTAGTCTCTATTAAGTTACATAACCACTTTGATTTTCTCATATTGTTAAAAGGGAGATTTCCATTTTTTTTTCTGTATAATGCATTCATTCTTCACATTTGGAACCATTCATTTGCACATGTAATTTCAATTCCTGCTCTACTTTGCTAGAAAATTTTTAATGCCCAAATCCAAGTGAAATGTGAGAATACAGTATAAGCATTAAAAGACTTGACAACACAGTTATTATGAATGATACAGACTACATGATTAACAGACTACCATCTAGGGATATTGTGGGGGTTTGGAGAAGACTGGATTTGAGCTAAATCTTGAATGAGAATAGGATTTTACCAGAGGTGAGAGAACTGTTGAGGGTAGGGTATAGCATAAGCCAAACACAACAGAGATAAATAAGTTAAAGCATCAAAATTTAAAACAAATACAAAGTGATTTTGTTTAATCTTGAGATTTCTTATTTTAAAAATCTTAAAGCAGTCTATTTTTCCTGTCTAGCCTGCAATGTAATCAGATGCTTAATTCAGAATTCCAGCATTCCTTGGTTTTTCAAGTAACTTAAACATCTCACAAGAATGTGAATGTGATTACCCAGAATCTTTCCCGTGTACCTACAGTATATCTATCAGTAATCAAGTATTTTGAAGAGGGAAAAAATCATTTTTATGTTATCTCAAAAGGATTAAACAGAGAAACCAAGTAGTATAATGCCTTTTATTTTGCTGGAATGGTTGCACTTATTAAAAGGTTGACAGGTGAATCTATTATAATATTTTTTCCCCTCTAAGTTAAATGTAAAATATTTTGTTAGTAATGATAACAGCTGTAATTTATTAATGAGTTTTTTCTGTGTCACAGATTTTTTTTGGGTGCTGTAAGTACATTATCTTGTTTGGCCCTTAAAGCAGCTCTGTAAAATAGGGTATTATAGATTACTTTATAAAAGAGGAAACTGAGGCTTAGAGAAATTAATAAAGCTAAGTATACATACTAGAGAGTGACGAGGTATGGATTTGAACTTGTCTGACTTAAAACCTTGGAATGTTTCTAATATATTTACCTTACCATTTTTACTTTTAATGTACAATTGGGAGAATTAAAATATGACGTACAGTTTTGGAATCTCTTTTACAAAGTTGTATGTTATTTTCAAAAAAAAAGACTTTTTTGAGCCTTGTTATAGCCTGGATATCCTCATTTCTCTTGTGAATGCATTAAATAAAACTAAAATCCTTCAGCCTTAACATGGTTTTCAAATGGGAAAGTATTTTTAGGAACGAAATCCTTATATACACAAATTTTTAATGAAAAATTTTAATAAAACAAAAAGAGTGTCTCTGTTAGACATGTTCAATATATTCTCTAAAGTGGACTCATTAATCTCTGGGGAACATAGTGTGAAAATCTTTATGCTTACAACTTCCCTTATGTGTCCTTTCATATAAATGAATGAAGTATTATCATTCAAGGTTAGTTATTTCCACCATAGCGATAAATGGATAATACCACCCAAAGCCATGAGAGTAGACCACTCTTCAGTTTGTTAGGTAGGAAAAGAACTAAATTCCATTAGACATTTTAAGTTGTTAAATAAAAAAAGCATCTTAAAGAGTATCTCTACATTTTTGAAACAGATAATTGTTTTTTTTAACAAACTCTAATGTACTAAATGTACGTTTAAGCAGCTAAAGATAATTCATTTGTCAGAACTTATTCATAGTATGCATTTTTTTTGGCTGGAATATTTTGATCTGGCTCCCTTTAAAATAGCTATTTACATGTTGCTTTATTTGAAGTCATATATAGAATTTTCTTTCATCGAGGGATTATTTTCTAAATTATTTAAATATATGTAGTCCGTGATAAATATATGTGCAATTTCTTTATACCCTTGAGTTTGAATCACATTGTTTTATCATTATTGTCATGATATGATAATTTAATTATATTACCTTCAATTTAGCTCCAAAGTATTTTTACTCAGATGTAAATAATATCCTAATTTTAAAAAATAGTTTCTCACAATTTAAATCATGTAGGTATGAATGAAAGTTCATTTTTATCAAAACGCCCTTCTACTTCTGAAGTTAATAATGTTAATGCAAAGAAGCCGAAGCCTAGCGAAAGTGTTTGTGGAGCAGATTCCTCAGCTGCATCACCTTCAGTTAAGTCTCCTTCAGTGACATCTTCCCAGGCTATGTCAGCAAAAGGTAAATATAAAATCTGCTATGTAAAAAGAAGTTACTGTATTTATACATACATTTTAGAAATGGTTATAATTTTTAAATGTATTATTAGTTTTAAGGTTAGAAAGTGATGAATTTGAATCATAAATATTCTGAATTTGTTTTAGGTGCAAATACCACATCAAATCAATCTAAAAATGGAACGCCTTTTCCAAGAGCTTGTCCAAAGTGCAACATTCATTTCAATCTTTTGGATCCTTTGAAAAATCACATGAAGGTAAAACTCTTTCATTATTTAATTTGTAAAAAGTTTGCACATTTCTAAAAATATTGATGATAACGGTAATTAATGGTTTCTCCAGAAATAATCTCATTGGTATTTCCATTTAAGTAAAAATTTACATTCATAATCATTATATAGATTCTAAAATTCCTTATAAATCATCAAATTTTAAAACTTAAGGTTGTGTGTAATATAATGAATGTTTAGTATTTTAATTCTAAATAAAAATGTATTAATCAGATTAATTTATTAGGTCATACTCTTTAAACTTCTTATAAAACAGGCATTTTCTTATGTATTTACTTTGCATATAACTTAAAAATTCTGTTACCTTATTTTTGTGTAATGTTAACATGCATGTCAATTACACAATGAAAATCTGAGTTTTACATTTTAGTTTTTAACACTCAAGTATAAACTTGAAATGTTGGAGCTTTTCATATGAAATAATTGTTTTAATTCAGTCTAGAATGTAGTTCATATAATTGTATAAATTAATTTGAGCTTTTTATTGGTGCAGGAAGGCCTTGAATTTAGGTTTTAAGAAATGTTCAAAGTACTAATGAAGTATGAGGTTTAGGTAATGCTTAAAGTATTTTAGTAGATATTATAGTATCCTGCTGTGTTGTACTCTCCTTACATGCCCAGTATAAATGACAGGAAGGGAGAAAAAAATAAAAAAAAGGACGTAGATTATATAAGGAAAGACGGAAGGAGTTTGGTACAATGGCAAAGAAGTAACTTAGGAAAAGTTTTTGCTATTTCAGAGGTTTACACATTTTTATTGAAATTCAGCATTTTACAAAAAAGTAGAAAAAAAAGGGAGCTTAAAAAATTCTAAATACTGTCTTCTTATTCACATACACAACTGTGTTTGGTCTGTCCTTACTGTCAGAGTATAGCCCTGGACTGCACTTTGTGCTTTGGCCTTACAGGAGAATGATCCTGTAGAGGTACTTTCAGTTTTCCTGTTCTATGGAATGTTTTGATGAGATTTCTGATCAAATGTTTTTTCATGTTTTGTATTACAGATGAAAAAAAAGACTGTATTTTTTAGTTATCTATCTAATTTTCTTAGTAGGGAGTAATACAGTCACATGATTTAAAACTAAAAAGCCGACAAATAAATGGAAGTGAAGAATCTTACCTTGGTGTCTCTTTACCTGGTTCCTAGTATGACTCTAGTGTGTCTGCTTGTACAAGTAAACACGAATGTTCTTGTTTTCCATTTCATACAGAAATTGTAGCATGTTATGTATACAATGGCAGCATTCTCCAAAATGTGGCTTTTGTGTGTTACTTCATGGTTTGTAATTACTTCTAGTAGAAACAACCAAAACTTCGTAGAATTTTCATACTAATTTAATAAAACACTATGACATTTTAAATAAGGAAAGTATCTCTATCATTGTAAGAAATTGTATTTCTTACAACTGAACTAAGTTGAAGATAAAATTGAACAATATTTGTGTTTATATCATAAGGAAATCTTGAAAGAATAGTCTCCAAATCTAGGAAGGGAAAGTTTAAATCTGTGGGGACTTTTTCTGGTTTATATATGTTTATGCATCAGTTAAAGTTTTAATATTATAACTTTTATTTTGAAAATAATATGATTCTTAGATTATTTGTGAATGATTTTTTGCCGTTATTATAGATAGATGGGAGAACACTAGGATATAAATAATGTTTTCTTTCAATGGAAAAATATTTAAATATCAAATATTCTATAACAATAAAAAAAATTTATCTAAGTCCATGTATCAGATACAATACTAAGCTTTAAATACATTATTTCATTAATCCTTAGAAAATTCTTTGAGATATTTTTCTCATTGTATAACCAATTAACTGGCATAACTGGCTTTTAAAACTCAGTTTCTTTAATGGTAAACCCCAAGCTTTCACAAATACCTTTTCTGTGTGTGTGTGTGTGAAGTGTAGGGGCTATTTAATATTATGTGGCCACTTGAAAATAGGTATATTATTTCTGTTTTGGGGTATGGAATTTGGTATTTATCAACCAAATATACCTTATTAATTATATTTATATTTCTGCGTCTTTGCTTCCATTTAGTCCAGTCGATCTGTCCTGGATTGAGAAACACCAAATTTCAAGCCACATCTTTCATTATCAGTATTTTCTTTTATATATTGCAATTTTGTCTCAAAGTTGTTGTTTTTTGCGATATAGAAGAATCTAGCTTTTAGAACTGTATTGTGAGGCCAAGCGTCATGGCTCATGCCTATAATCCCAGCACTTTGGGAGGCCGAGTCCAGGAATTTGAGACCAGCCTGGCCAACATGGTGAAACCCCATCTCTACTAAAAATATAAAATACTAGCCTGACGTGGTGACACATGCCTGTAGTCCCAGCTACTTGGGAGGCTGAGGCAGGAGAATCACTTGAACCTGGGAGGTGGAGGTTGCAGTGAGCTGAGATGGAGCCACTGCATTCCCGCCTGGGCAACAGAGTGAAACTCCATCTCAAAAATAAAATGAAATAACTGTATTGTGAATGTATCCTTTAGCATTTTAATAAGATATCCTTTTCTTGGTCTTAATGTTTAGTGCCTTTCAGCCCAAATTCTACCGTTATGTTATGCTCACAACCCCTGTTATGGTTTCCATTTGTCTGGTGTATTCTTTGTTTATTCCTTTATTTTCAACTCTTCTGAATTACTTTGTTTTAGGTGTGCCTTTTGCTTTGAGAAAAGTTGATTTTTCTTTTGTGATCCTATGTGAAAATCTCTTCTTTTAATAATGAGTTTAGATTTACCAGTATGATAGATTTATTTGGTTTTAGCTCTGTTAAAATTTTTCATTAATCCTTTCTCTTTTAAAACCCTTTCACAGTGTGGTTGCTTTATGTGTGTGTAGCTGTAGTTTTGTTCTCCTGGTTATCTTCCTGATTTGAATGTATAACTCCACTCGTCTTCTATTCCATTATCCATTCTCTACTGTTGTTTTCTATGAGGAAAGATTAAAGTAGCACAAAACTTCCTGTTTTTAACCTACCCATCTTTGCCTTTTGCTAACTGATTTTAGTCAATATTGCCTGAGCGTTTGTTTACCTTTGCTATTAAAATGCCTGTACCTAAGTTACTTTATGTGATGGCTCTGGTACTCCTTGATGAACTGCTACTATATGTGAGGCAGTCAGTTTACTCTTGGCCTTATACTCTTTGTTCTTTTATCCTCTCCCAATTTTTATTTGTTGGTTGTACAATTTTTCCATTTTCAGGGCATATGACATTACATTTTTTTAAAACCTTATGTTATATTTTTTTGGATCTTTTTCTGCAGTAAATATATCCAGTGTTCATCATCAGTGTTTTTGTAATGGTTTATTTGGTTTTCTCTTTGGCTGAAGTTCATTCAGCAGTAATTTCATTTAGGAAGAGTCTGAAAACTTTTTTCTGTGAGGTCGTTCGTGTTCAAAGCAATTTGACTATAGTCCATTCTGGAAAGACAGTTTGACTTTATATAAAGTAAATTGAATCCCACTATCAGGATTTTGTTGGTGTAGCTCCCTTTTTCTAGTATTCAGTGTTGCTGTTGAGGAATCTGGGACAAACTGAATTACTTTGCCTTTTATAAGTGGTTTGATCTTTTTGTTTGACTGTCTACAGCTTTTTGGTGGTCTACATTCTTTATGTTTTGAAGACTGATAAATTTTTAATGATATAACTTGGTGTTGGGAATTTCGGGTGAATCCTCTCTGGTATACACCTTGTTCTTTCAACTTGCGTATTTGGGTTTAGCACACTTGATTTGAGTTGTATTTTAAAATATTTATTCCATACAATGTCATCTTCAATATGAATTTGTTTTATCTTCTTTGCCTGGCATATGTAATTTTTTTCCTAATCCTTAATTTTTAAAAATTGACTTTTCTCCTACTAATGTCTGTTTATTTTATTTGCAATGTCTGCTCACCACTGTATTCCTTCCTAACTTCTCTTCATGTCTCTGATTTTATTTTTTTTCCTATACTTTCACCCTGGATTTTGCCACTCCTTTTTCTTTTCTTCTAAATGTCTTATTGTCTTGGCATCTCTTCTTGCTTTGTGGTCTTCCAAATAGAGACAATTGCTTCATTATGTTTTTAAAATTTGTGACTACTTTTTTCATCTATATCTGCTCCCTGGCAACATGTTTCTGATGTTTTTGTTAGAATTTTACATTTTTTGGTTATTTGCCTTCCTTTATTATACAGTATTTTTGTTTAGATGTGAATTCCTATTGTGTTTAACAAGTTGGATTTTCTTGGGCCAGCTGTTTTATACAAGCTTCTTTTAGGAGGAAGCATAGGTTGCCACGATAGTCTCACAGCTTGCTAGCTGGTTTAAACAGCTTTTTGCTGGGCAGGAAGCTTCCTGCAATTGTGACTTGCGTGTCTGATTCTTTATGTAGCACTGCCTTTCTGCTTTTCTGTACTCAATCAGGTCTGGAGTACTTCTGCTGCCATCCTTGTTGCCCCAGTTTCTGCACCTGTTTTTGCAAACAAAGGATCTACCTTTGTGATTCACAACATGTGTTTCAGCTTTAACATGTATATTTTTACTGTCCCTTTAATATCCGTTACACTGAGTCCCCTTTACTTCTCTGGTTTACTTCTAGCTAAATGCCATCTGCCTGATATTGGCTGCTTTGGGTAGTGCTTTCATATATTGTGGAGTCTGTGGATTTTGTCTGACTCCTAGTTTCAATGAGAAACCAATTTGTGGAATTTGGTTGTGTGACTTTCGGATGAATCCCAGAAGGAAAAGGGGAAAATGTTGACTGATGTAGGATGTTCACATGAGATGTCCTATTTTACTGTAAAAATAGGATCTCCCCTCCTTTGCTCTGAAAAACCTACCTAAGTTTTTAGGGCACTAACAAAGCAACAGAACATGGTCTGTATAGTGGGAGGAGTAAAGGTAAGAATGTTAGACAGATGGTGTCTGATATTTGTCAAACTATAGTATATGGTATTAAAGTACATATTTAATACTTGCAGAATGTAAAAATAAGGGATAAATGAGGAGTTGTAGTGAAGGTCTGTTAATAGCACGGAAAGGTACTAGGGCTGAATAAAAGATGACCAGTTGGCCGGGCACGGTGGCTCACACCTTGTAATCCCAGCACTTTGGGAGGCCGAGGCAGGTGGATCATGAGGTTAAGAGATCGAGACCATCCTGGTCAGCATGGTGAAACCCCGTCTCTACTAAAAATACAAAAAATTAGCTGGGCATGGTGGCGCGTGCTTGTAATCCCAGCTACTCAGGAGGCTGAGGCAGGAGAATTGCCTGAACCCAGGAGGCGGAGGTTGCAGTGAGCCGAGATCGCGCCATTGCACTCCAGCCTGGGTAATGAGCAAAACACCGTCTCAAAAAAAAAAAAAAAAAAAAAACAGATGACCAGTTGATAGTGTATCATAGCTCAGCCACGCCCCTGCGTAGCTTACTTTATCCTTCTGTAAAACCTTAAGTGTAGGCTTGGTTCTCATGTCTTAAGTTGCTTATTTGCTTTTTGGATAAACAAGGATACTTTGCTTTTTTCAATGATTAAATCCTCCACCTAAATTCACTACACCTTGTCTGTTCTGGGTTGTCAGTGGTTTATTATTCAGCTCTTTTATAGAGATATGAAACACTGTTTAAAAGGTACTCTGTGAGCAAAGTTTGTTTATTTAAAAAATCTGATCCTATACTACTTTTCTGTTAAAAAATACAAGAACAGCAGTAATTTATCATTTATTGTGGGTTTCATAATTTATAGGTATTTTAGAGCAATCTTTAATGTTTATAGACTGTGTAGTATAATTTGACAATTTTACATTTGGGACATAAGATTATCCACATTTCTAATTAGGGAGACTATTCTATATTATATAATTTTTGTATAAGTATTCCCCAACCAGGCTTTATGAAATTTTGTATATCACTTGATAATTAAATACATCAAGGCATGTAAATATTTTCTTTCTGTACATCTTGACAAGGACATGAGATGAATGATTTTTGGTTAAGGAACAAATTATTATTAAATATTTACATCTAAAAAGGCAAATTGCAAGCATAAAGCTGTTAGAACTACAGCCATGTCTTGGTTTTAGGGTTTCTCATTTCTTTTTGAATTTTTAAATTAAGATAATAGGTGTTTATTATTTGAATTTTTAGAATCTGTATATGGACCACAAATTTTTGGTGACTATTTTTTCAGATATATTTCTAGCATAGTTTTAATCGTCTGGCCTTAGGTGTAAACACACAATCACTTTTTGGTATGTGTTTTTTTAAAGAATAAATAAGGCTTGTATTTTTTTTTCTCTTTCAGTATTGTTGTCCAGACATGATAAATAACTTTTTGGGACTGGCTAAAACAGAATTTTCAAGTACAGTAAATAAAAACACAACTATTGATTCAGAGAAAGGAAAATTGATCATGTTAGTTAATGACTTTTATTATGGAAAACATGAAGGAGATGTCCAGGAAGAACAGAAGACTCACACAACCTTTAAATGCTTCAGTTGCTTGAAAATTCTAAAAAATAACATTAGGTATGTAAATACTTATTTTTATTTCTACTGAAAATTGAAATGCTGCAAATAAAAACGTTAAGCCTTTATCTTGTGTTTTCTGTGCTATTCTAGATAAGCAATTTTAATACTTTCTACTAAGAATAAAGGCAGATTCTCTTTTTGAAAAGCTTTTGTCCTTTCTTGTGTTGTGGAGTTTGACTCTCGGATTCAGTTAGTTGTGTTTCTTTCGCATAGCTTATGAAAGGACAAATTTCATTTTAACTTAAGACAAAATAAACTTCTTTTTTCTGTTTTAGTGGTGATCTTTGAATTTTTATTAGACATTTTTTATTTTCTAGTTGCCTTTGAAATTTTATATTTCTTCACATTTTAAGAAGAACCACTCTATGTTTGTCCAGTTTGAGCTCCTCCATACTAATCTTTGTAATGCTCAAATCTTTCAATTTATATTTATAATTTTTAGAACATTTATCTTGCAGGAAAAGTTACCTGTTTTAGAGATGTATCAGTTCTAGGAAACATGTCTATTTTGATTTTAAAATTTAACACCTTTAAATATTAGAGATTCAATTCCCTCAGTAGAATTTTGAAGATTTTTATATGAATGCATTAAATATTAGAAATTTACACTTCATAATGGTTGAGTTGTAATCTTTGAAACTATCATTCTATATAAATTAGTAACAAGAGAAAAGTAATAAGACATTAAATGATATTATTTGTTGATTATGTAGCCTGATATTTATATTTGATAAGGTTTTATCTATCACTTTACTATAAAAATTTTCAAATATTAAGCAATTTTGAAAATTTCACACTGGACCCTTGTACACTTACCACTTTGATTTTACCATTAACATTTTACTATACTTGCTTTTTTATGTATCTCTTCATCTTTCTTAGAACTATTTGATTTTTTTGGGTGCATTTCAAAGTAATCTAGTGTGTTTGTGCATGTGTGTACAAGCATATTCATATACTGATGACTTTGTGTTTATTCTTGGTAACTATCATCTGTAATTAGCATTTCAAAACACCTGTAGTTACTTCTGAGTTCAGCATTTATTTATTTTCCTGTGGGTTTGTGGGTCCAAAAAGAAGCCTATATAAAATCCTGAAATACATGGTGATATATACCTATAACAATTATTAATTGTTTCTTTATGATAGTGCTTTATAATTTGCAAAGTTCTTTCACATTTATCTTGTTTTATATGAGTTTTCTTATTTCTTACCTCCTTTTATCAAGCTTTAAGAGCCATCAATAGCTAATGGTTGCAGTAGTTTAACAGAAGGGAAATTTTATTTTTAGATAAAACACTGAAACAGTGTTGCAGTAGAACTTTACTGCCATTATAACATGACATCAGAAAGTCATGTTAGCAAATATGTTAAAATGCAGAGCCATGTGATTCATTGACTTAATTTCTTGTATTGAAATATGGGATTATAAGTTATCTCTCAGTAGTTTTTTTTTTTTTGGCCTTAAGATTAGCCCATTTAATATCAAACACAAAAATGAGGCGGGGCCTGGTGGTTCATGCCTGTAATCCCAGCACTTTGGGAGGCTGAGGCAGATGATTGCTTTAGCAAAGGAGTTCGAGACCAGCCTGGGGAACACAGCGAAACCTCATCTCCAGAAAAAATACAAAAGTTAGCTGGGCGTGGTAACGTGCACCTGTGGTCCCAGCTATTTGTTGGGCTGAGGTGGGAGGTTAAGGCTGCATTGACCTGTGATCATACCTCTGCACTCCAGCCTGGGCAACAGAGTGAAGGTGTCTCAAAATGAAAAATTCATTTTTTGTTATTTTTTATGAAGACTAGCTACATATGTCTAGATTTTCAGAATATTTACAGATTTTAAAAAAACTGTATCTGATAATATCCAGGAACTGAGCATTTTAAAAACTACTGATCATTTAGTAAATGTAACCTTAATGAACAAAGAAGTTAAATGTATTATATAATATTTTACTTTACCAGTAAAAACTAGGAAGGCAACTTGATATTTATAGAGAATAAGAAATTGATAGCTTAGCATTTCTATTGTTTGCCTTATCAACATACTGTGATATAAGGTTTTTTTCCTACATTGAGTGTCACTAAAAATAGTTAGATATATCTTGTTCTGTGAACATCCTTGCAAGAGGTTTTGCCGTTTTCCTAATTTCTGTTGGGTTGAGAAGTATGATCTCCTGATGGAACTCATTTAATAATTGGGGAAAAGTGAATTGCTTAAGGGATCATTTTATGTAAATAGACTTTAAGTGGTGAAAGTTGTGAGCTGAAAGTTCAGTGGCTTGTGACCATTATTACTCTATATGTAAATAGTTAACCAAGACTGGGATTTTCTGTAGGCATTTGTAGAGCTGGTGTGAAAACCGAAGGAGGAAAGGATATTTCAAGGTGTATCAGAGCCCACTCTAAAGAGTAGCAGAGCCGTAAATTTGTGAAGAGACATGTATCATAATCTTCGTGGTGATTGCTATCAAGATTGATGGCATTATCACTTAGTTTCAAGATAATTTCTTTTAGGGACTCAAAGTGAATAATTGTTAACAGTTGACGTAGTCTAAAAATTACGGTTTTTATTGAATAACTTTACTCTCAAATTCAACAAATAACTTCAGTAAGCTCTTTTAAATAAGTGTTACCATTTATATTGCACCCTTTGCCACTGAAGGTTGTAGTTCCTGCTCAGAAGAAGCCTTTTAGGGAAGCTGAAGTAGCAGAATGTAAAACTGAAAAATGTAGTTAAGATGAACAGTCTCTGCTAACAGTAACAGTATCATTAAATAAAACAAAAGGTTCTTGTAATTGTAGGCATTAAAACTGCTATTACATGGATTTAGAAACCAAGATACAAGTAAAAATACCACTAATTTGTCATTTAAGCAGTTGGAATCTATTGTATATTTTCAAGGCCTTAAAAGATTTCCTCCTGACTCTGTAGCTGCCTTTGGTGATAGGGTTTCCTTTCTTTTAGTATTTTATTTTAAAATGTAAATAGGATTTCAAATATGGATCAGAAGCCCGCTATTTTATCTAAATTTTTAAAAAGTAATCTGAATTAATGATTGAGAGTTATATCAAATTGGTGATCTTTTGGATTAATTGCATTAATGAATTATTTTAAAGCAAAGATAAAAAGATGTTTATTTAGCCACTTAAAGAAAGTGATTATTTAAAAATGCATACTTTCCTACACAACTTTAAGACTTTTGATAATTAAGAGTAATACATTTATATTTTTAAGATTTAGGTTAGATTCTTGTTTGTGAGATTTCCTTTTTGTTTTTAAATCTCAAGTTTTGCACCTGTTGACAACCATTTATAGGTTTATGAACCACATGAAACACCACTTGGAACTTGAGAAGCAGAGCAGTGAGAGCTGGGAAAACCATACCACCTGCCAGCACTGCTACCGTCAGTTTCCCACACCATTTCAGCTGCAGTGTCACATCGAAAGTACACATACCCCCCATGAATTTTCTAGTAAGTTACCAGTACATTTAAATATTCCATATTATTGATTTTGATAATATACCAAGAAAACCTTAAGAAGTCTGTTAGAAAAATGAAAATAAGAAATAGACTTTGGAATTTGAGGGCAAAATGAAAAGGCCAAGTTTTAACAGTTACAAACTTTTAAATAAAATTAGTTACTAATAATAAAGTACCTCTTGCAAATAATTCATTATGGTGACTGCATTGACATAACCTGTGCATTATATATTGGGTACTAAATTAGGAGCCTGGTATCATATATTTTAAATATGAATTCAGTGCTCTTCATTTAAACTTTAATAGGAAACAGAGCTACCGTTGTAGTTTAAAATCACAGGCCAGGTTCGACGGCTCATGCCTGTAATCCCAGCACTTTGACAGGCCAATGTTGGGAGATCGCTTGAGGCCAGGAGTTCGAGACCAGCCTGGCCAACATGGCAAAACCGTCTCTATTAAAAGTACAAAAATTAGCTGGGCATGGTGATGCATGCCTGTAATCCCCCCTACATGGGAAGCTAAGGCAGGAGAATCACTTGAACCCAGGAAACGGAGGTTGCAATGAGCCAAGATCATGCAATTGTACTCCAGCCTGGGTGACAGAGCAAGACACTATCTCAAAAAAACAAAAACAAAAAACAAACAAACAAACAAAAAAACAGATTTTGGAGCAAGATGGCTTGGTTTTAAATCCCAGATCTGTCTCTTAATATAGGTACAAGATTTTAGCCATGTTACTTTATATTTGAATAATGGGGATAATATAAATACCTTCCTTGTAGGATTGTTAATAGGAGTTAAGTGAGTTAATGTAGGTGAGGTAATGTGAGTGCTTAGAACTGTTCTTTGGACTTAGTTAATTAGTTAACAAGCTGTTTAACTGTTGACGACTGCCACTACTGCTGTTATTGTTGATATAGATGCATACAATGAATTTTTATATGAATGGGTGAAATATTATAATACTGTTTCTCTCCCACATTTAGCTATTTGCAAAATCTGTGAATTGTCATTTGAAACAGAACATGTTCTTTTACAACATATGAAGGACAATCATAAACCTGGTGAAATGCCATATGTCTGCCAGGTACACATACCTTTTATTGTTTTCTTAAGTGTTAAGTTTGTTTGTTGTTTTGGTTATAATATTTAAGCCTATTAGACCAGCGGTCAGCAAACTTATGCAGAACTTGGCATAACTTATCCCTCATATGAGGGTTTGGTCTACAGGCTTTTGTTTGTTCTGCTCATCCCTGTACTGGACAAAGATGAATCCTGTTGTAGAAAAACAAACATATGGACTTAACTGTACTATATAGGGAAGAATGTAGGCATACAAGGGAAATACAAAGTGCTGTTAGTTACAAAGAACCTTACCACATGCTTTGGTAAAAGCATTTTTGCAGAATTTCAAGGAAGAAGAAAGCAAGGAAAAAATAAATTGCCACTGTCATAAACCTGGAGACCATTGATAATCTAAAGGAGAATGCTGTTTCATGTAGCAGGAAAACATCTTATAGGGCAAGAGTTGCCAAAGCTTGAAAACTCAAGTCAAGACAGAAGGTGATAGATAAAAAGATCTGATAAAGGGAAGGGGATCTAGTTGTGTTTTGGGATATATCCCTTGACTTTGAAAGCTACATTTAATGTCTCAAAGATGATCTTCTGGTGTTGCCTCAGTGAGATTCTTGGCTGCATAATGTTCTCCTGGCAAATTGTAAATTATTGTTACTTTGTAATTGCATATCAGTTACAAATTTTCAAGTTAAACTAAGCCTTCTTTCTATTTTTAGGTTTGCAATTATAGATCATCATCATTTGCTGATGTAGAAACTCATTTTAGAACATCCCATGAAAACACTAAGAATTTGCTATGTCCATTTTGCCTCAAAGTTATTAAAATTGCAACGCCATATATGCATCATTATATGAAACATCAGGTGAGATCATCAGTTCTTATTTGTTTATTTTGTCTTAGTGAAAACACTGATTATGACTTGGAGCATCTGTAGGTTTGTTTTGCAAGGGAAGCAAAGTGGTTCCAAATGACACTATTATGCTTTATGTTTGCTTGTGAAATTTCCACTTCTTTTCCTTACTTCCTTTCTGGTGATGGTGTGGGTCATAAATAATATAAATTCTGAAAGATAGCTAGAAATAGGAAGCCTATGATGAGAGGGGAAAAAAAGTGAGTGGAATATCCAAAAATTTAATATTTTGGGGTCTAAAGGTAGATATGAGAATGATTTTGAAGAGTATTCTCAGGACAAGGGGAAGAAATGAGTTTGAACTGAAAAAGAAAAGATAGATGATTTATAATCTTATTTTCCTTTTGCTCTTCAAACTTTCTAACCCCTTATCATTATGAGAAGACATATTGTCATCATTGACCTGGAATTGTCTTTTATAGTCGTGTGACTATGGGAATAGTAGTGATGCTTATTGATCAATGTATTAATTCTGCCAGAGAAATATATTTAGATCATCACTTGTTCCCTGGATGGCTTCCACCAATTTTGCTATATAATTTTGGAACTCAGTGCTTGTACTTAGTGCTTGTACCCTTCCCTTGAATTCTGTTATTATGCTTATTGGCTCTTTTCCTGAAGCAATTAAACCATCTTTTGTTTGGACTAAAAATTTTGATGCAACACGAATCCTATACTTGAGTGCTTGAAAGAACAACAGTGCCTTTGCCAAAATTAGAATCCAATGGATTTACCGAATCTGAACATGCAGTCAAGTTTTGCCAACTCACTACAAACAGTACATTCTCTATTATTGATTAAATTGACATGCCAATTTATTCAGCATTGGTACTAACTTTGCTGTCACTTTCAGTTGTTAGTTAATCATGAAATTGACTTGAAGTTTTAAATTGGAGAAGATCATAAAAGTAGAATTTCTAGGTCAATTTGGGATCACCTGTGTTGTGACTGGGCTGCCACCCATCCTTGAGAGTTTCTGGCAAGATCTTCTATTCTAGGGTTTCCCCAACAGTGTTCCATCAGTTGTTAATAGATATTTTCCCCCAAATCATCACTGCTAAATAAATTTGTTAAATGCCTGGGTTTATAAAATCAAGCAGTTTTGTGTTTTTTAAAACAGGACTTCTCAGAACTTTTAATATGCCAATGGACATTGTAAATCTCCGAGAAAGGATGTAGTATGTATCATTCCCCAAACTTATTTGACTATTGATCACTTTATTTGCACAGTACCTATTAACATTTCTTGATGAACAGAGTTTGGAAAACACTGTTCCTGATACTCTATATTTCATCTTTGGAGTTTAATTTTGAAAGGGAGAATGAAGTATAAGGCAGTAGCTCTAGTGCATGATGGGGCTTTTAAACATAATCTTTCCTAGGTGCTTTGCCGGACCATAGAGTGAGATAGAGATGTGGGAAGAATGATAACTATGACAGAGATTTGGGGACCCGCTATGTGGACTGTGTGATGTATAAGCAAGTCATCATGCCCTGCGTTTTATGTTTTAACTTGCCATGGCTGCCAGTTTTCTTTTTGGTTTGGAGTGCCTGGGAGGTAGACAGCCAGCATTAAAGAGGAGGCAATCCATTAATAAGAAGGATCATTGGGCATCCTTGAAGGTATTTACAATTCGTGTAATTATTTATAAGACTGGAAAACCATAGCTGAGCGGGATTATAAACCTGTAAGGTGTCATTATTACCGAAGTATTGAACAACCAGAATAGTTGACTCCATGCCTCATTTCATTATTTTTGAAGAACTCAGTTGTAACTGTTTTTAAAGATTATATTATGTCTTTAGTGATTTTAAAGTTAATAACCCAGTTTGTGTGACTTTCAAGAAATATTGTAGCAATTCCAGATGTGTTAAATATGCTCATTAGAGCTTTAATAAAACAAGCAGTTAACATACCCTAATTACTTACCTTACGGCAGCAGCTGGCACTTTACATGCATTTTCTTGTTTAATCCTCTCAACCACTATATGTATATTATTATTTCTGTTTTATGGATGAGGACACAGAGCTTTAGAGAAAGTAATTTGCCTAGTGTTGTATTGTCTAATAAAAGGCTGAGTTAAAAGTTTGACTTCAGTGTCCAAGCTTTTACTGTTCTACCACAGTGTTGGATTTCACGTTGGCATTAGGTCTAAAGGTAGAGATTACATATAGTAAAAATTAAATATAAATCTCTGAAGTCTCCCAAACAATATAGTATACTGATAAAAAAAATTTAATACAGATATTTGTTTCTTTATACTTGGAATAGATCACTGTTTCTTTTATTGAACATAGTGTTGTATCTTCATCACCCTTGGTGTGTCGAAATGCATGTGTACCTAAGTGAGATGTGTAAGACTTGAGTCCAACTAAGGGACTAGTAGATTAATATATTCTACCTTAGGACTCTGGACAAATGTTCATTGAATGAAAAGGTAGATATTTTGAACTAAATTGCACATGCTACTCATATGTATTTTCTCTCTTAATCTCTTTTCTGACTCACCCTTCAGTTAAGAAATATTTACTGAATGCCTTATTATGTGCCAGGGGCTGCTTTAGATATCATATAGCAGCGAACAAAGCCATGTTTGTGCCCTCTAGAATTTACATTATAGTAGAGAAAGATAATACATTTGTGTGTTTGTGTTAGAATGTGTATACTGGCAATAAGTGCTGTGGGAGGAAAATGTGGAAGATGAGGAGTGTTAAAGATTGGGGAGGTGGTAGGAGTGGAGGAGTGGTCAAAAAAGGGTGTTGTATAAAGGATGCTCAAACATGGCCCTCTCTGAAGGATGTAAAGGAGTAAGCCATGTGAATTACCTGGGAGACGTAACATTATATAGTCAGTGAATTGAGTGTATACCTGGGATGGTCACAAAGTAGCAAGGAGGTCAGTGTGGCTGAAGCCGAGTAAATTAATAGAAGGAAGAATAACAGGAGATGAGGTTCTAACAATAGAATGTGGACCAATTCATGTGGAGCTTTGTAAGCCACAGCCAAGACTTTGGAAAGGCACTAGACGTTTTTAAGTATGTGAAAGATGTGCCGTGTTTTTATTACTGGAGGCTAAGAAGAGAAAAGCCCATAGGAAAGACAGGACATTAAGGGGAGAACAAAGAAAGTTTTTAAGTGGTAAGTGGCTTGGGCTGGTATGGTAGCAATGGTTGGAGGTAATGAGAAGTGGAAAGATTATGAATGGCTTTGAAGGTAGAACTGACAGATTTTATTAATGTGTTTGACATGGGATGTAAGAGAGAGAGAGATTAAATTTTTTGTCTTGAGCAATTGCAAGAATGGAGTTTCATGTACTGAGATGGGGAAGACTGAAGAAGGAACAGAGGAGTTTTTAGGAGGAGGGGAACAGGGATATAGGAAGGAAATCTTGAGTTCAGTTTTGTTTGGGTAGATTTGAGAAGCATATTAGACATCAGGTGGCAACGTTAAGTAGGCAGTTGTTTAGATGGTATGTAAAACCACGAAACTGGATGATGTAATCAACTGAGTGGTTACATATAGAGAAAAGGCTTCTGGGAACTCAACTCTGGTGAACTTTTTTCCTGCTCTTCTGTTTTCGTATCTGTTTCTTGGTCAGATTTTCTCTCCTTTTTCTCCTTTTCCTTGTGCACATATAAGTGAATTTGTTTGAATTGCCCGTACCTGTGATGTAATCCAGTGTATCACACTTCTAAAATACTTTTAAGAGCCTAGGAGGTCGAGGCTGTAGTAAGTCAAGACTACACCACTGCATTCTAGCCTGGGTGACAGAGTGAGACCTTGTGTTAAAAAAAAAAAAAGTCTTAAGATGCAGCTATTAATAGAATTGTAACACATATTTATATGTTGCTTTGAATTTTATAAAGAATTTTTATTTACGAAGTGCTTGCTTGTATGCCAGGAACTGTGCTAGATTCTTCCCTATATATTATTTAGTTTGATTTTTATAAATAAGTGGTTGTTTTAAAAAACCCACAAAACTTCAGGCCAATACCCTTGATGAACATTGATATAAAAATCCTCATTTAAATACTGGCAAACTGAATCCAGCAGCACATCAAAAATTTTATCCACCATGATTGAGTAGGCTTTATCCCTAGGATGTAAAGGTTGGTTCAACATATACAAATCAATAAATGTGATTCATCACAAACAGAACCAAAGACAAAAACCTCATGATTATCTCAATAGATGCAGAAAAGGCTTTCAATAAAATTCAGTATCTCTTCATTTAAAAACTCAATAAACTAGGTATTGAAGGAACATGCCTAAAAATAATAGACATATATGATAAGCCCACAGTCAATATCTTACTAAATGGGCAAAAACTGGAAGCATTCCCTTTAAAAACCAGCACAAGACAAAGATGCCCTCTCTCACTCCTCCTGTTCAACATAGTATTGGAAGTTCTAGCCAGGACAATCAGGCAAGAGAAAGAAAGAAAGTGAATTCAAATAGGAAGAGAGGAAACTATCTGTCTTTGCAGATGACATGATTCTATACCTAGAAAACCCCATCATCTCAGCCCAAAAGCTTTTTAAGCTGATAAGCAACTTCAGCAAAGTCTCAAGATACAAAATCAGTGCGCAAAAATCACTAGCTTTTCTAGATATCAACAACAGGTACGGCTGAGAGCCAAATCATGAGTGAACTCCCATTCACAATTGCCAGAAAAAGAATGAAATAACTAGGAATACAGCTGACAAGGGAAGTGAATGCTCTCTATGAGGAGAACTGTTATACAAACCACTGCTCGAAGAAATCAGAGATGACACAAACAAATGGAAAACCTTTCCATGCTCATGGCTAGGAAGAATCAATATTGTGAAAATGGCCCTGCTGCCCAAAGTAATTAATAAATTCCATGCTATTCCCAGTAAACTACCATGGATATTCTTCACAGAACTAGGAAAAACGATTTAAAAATTCTTATGGAACCAAAAAAAGCCCAAATAACCTTGGCAATACTATGAAAAACAAAGTTGGAGGCATCACACTACCTGATTTCAAACTATACTGTAGGGCTATAGTAATCAAAACAACTTGGTACTGGTACAAGAACAGACACAGGGAACAATGGAATAGAATAGAGCACCCAGAAGTAAAACCACACATCTACAACCATCTGATCTTTGACAAACCTGATGAAAGCAAGCAATGGGGAAAGGATTCCCTCCTCAATAAATGTTTGGAGAACTGGCTACCCATAGGCAGAAAATTGAAACTGGACCCCTTCCTTATATCATAAACCAAAATTAACCGAAGATAGATTAAAGACTTAGCTGTTAATCCCAAAACTGTAAAAACCCTAAAATTAAACCTAGGCAATACCATTCAGGACATAGGCATGGGCAAAGATTTCTTGACAAAGACACCAAAACCAAAAATTGGCAAATGGAATCTAATTAATCTAAGGAGCTTCTGCACAGCAAAATAAACTATCAACAGAGTAAACAGACAACCTACAGAATGGGAGATAATTTTTGCAAACTATGCATCTGACAAAGGTCTAATATCTAGCATCTATAAAGAACTTAAACAGATTTACAAGAGGACAATCCCATTAGAAAGTGGGCGAAGGATATGAACAGACAGTTCTTAAAAGAAGACATACATGTGGCCAACAATGATATGAAAAAAAGCTCAACATCACTGATCATTAGAGGAATGCAAATCAAAACCACAGTGAGATACCATCTCAAACCTGTCAGAATGGCTACTATTAAAAGTTCAAAAAATAATAGATGCTGGCAAGGTTGTGGAGAAAAAGGAGTGATTTTATACTGTTGGTGAGATTGTAAATTAACCATTGTGGAAGACAGAGTGGCAATTCCTTGAAGACCTAGAGACAGAAATACCATTCTACCCGGCAATTTTATTGCTGGGTATATACCCAAAGGGATATAAATCATTCTGTTAAAACACATGCTCACATATGTTCTTTGCAGCACTAAGCACAATAGCAAAGACATGCAGTCAATCTAGATGCCCATCAGTGGTGGACTGGATAAAAAAATGTGGTACATATATACCATGGAATACCATGCAGCCATAAAAAAGAATGAGATCATGTCCTTTGCAGGGACATGGATGGGACTGGAGGCCCTTATCCTTAGCAAACTAATGCAGGAGCAGAAAATCAAATACCACGTGTTCTCACTTATAAGTGGAAGCTAAATGATGAGGACACATGTACACATAGAGGGTAACAACACATACTTGGGCCTACCAGAAGGCAGGGAGAAGGAGGAGAGAGAGGATCAAGAAAAATAACTAACGAATACCTGGGTGATGAAATAATCTGCACAAAAAAACTCCAGGACACATGTTTACCTGTGTAACAAACCTTCACATCCTGCTCGTGTACCCTGAACTTAAAAGTTAAAAATAAATAAATAATTAGTTGTATTTAAGTGGACAAGCATTCCTTTGTAATTATATGTTGTATAATTATGTGTATGTGTGTGTGTGTATGTATATATATATATATATATACATACATGTAAAACAACATATAATTACAAAGGAGTGGTTTCTCTAAAACCATTATATATAAAAATATATTAATGAGGATAAAAATTGCAGTTGATAATCTGTAGTAGAAAGAACGCTGGATCAGGAGTCTAGTAATGTCACTAACTAGCTATGGGGAAGTGCCTTCAATTTTTTTTTGGGTCCTATTCCCCATCTGTAGAATAATGGGTTTGAGGAGGGACTCATTCCAGGGGTTCTCAATCAGTAAGTTCAGTTGTTCTGTTTTATGCCTCCTTATCCACATTGTCTAATATAGTAGCTACTAGCCACATATGGCTTTTTAGATTTAAATTAATTAAACAATATTTAAAATATAGTTCTTTAGTCACAGTAGCCACATTTCAGGTGCTCAATAACCACATGTAACTAGTGGCTACTGTGTTGGACAGTACCTCTCCAGCATATTTAATTATTGTAAAAGGTATTATTGGACAGCATTGGTTTGTATAACCATTTCTATAAAATAACCTGCTTTGAAATGTTTGGTTAAATTTATTTGGTTTTAGAGAGTTTATTTTACCAACTTTTTAACTAACTAGTATTGGCAAAAATTAGAAATAATTTACTTTTTCTAGGATAAAAACACAGTACATCTAATTTTCACAGTATCATGTTTATTTCAAGTTTGTAATTGAAAGAGCTTTCTCATCACAATTAAGTTTTATTAGAACCTTTTGATAGAACTTTTATGTCCAGTTCCTACATAGTAGCCAAACACTTTTGAAACCCAAATAGTAATGTACCGACTTACTTAAAATGAGGTATTTTGATATTATTTGTGATTGGAGATGCTAAATTGCTAGGTTTTACATTGTTTGGTTATCATTAAAATTAAGTCAGAGTAGTTTCAGGACACAGGATTTGTGGTTGTTGAAATTATTTTCCCCCTTTTCTCTTTTTTTCCCTAAACAGAAAAAAGGAATACATCGTTGTACAAAATGCAGGCTGCAGTTTTTGACATGCAAGGAGAAAATGGATCATAAGACTCAACACCATCGAACATTTGTAAAACCTAAACAACTAGAAGGATTGCCTCCTGGAACAAAAGTGAGTTAAAGTATACTGCATTTTAACATTTTGCATGACAAGAGAAATTAACTCCTGTACAGCTTTAACTATTGAATGTATTTTTTAATGACTTCAGATTTTTGCTCAGACTTTAATTTTAGGTTTTAATTTTATGCATAGAAGGAAAAACTTCTAACCAGTGTTTTGAGTTTAGTGATAAGTGTTAGGTTAGAGTAGTCATCCTTTTTAAAAAGCACAACTCACTTAACTTTTCCTGGGTCACTGGGTTGTTTCAGTATTTTATTGGCTGTTTTTGAGCTTTCAGTTGAAAGTGTATATGTTGATTTTAGTTGCTAAACCATAAGATGTTTGAGATCAGGAATCATGTGTTCTCAGCATCTGGTATGGTGCCTTGAGTGCCATAGGTTCTCAGATGTTTGTTGCAGTTGTTATACTAAGTTTACTCTGAGAAGCAAGTTGTCCTGCTGGAGAGCCTTGTGTTTTAAGTGAGCAAACATGTCTGACTGCATACTGATGACTGTAATTTGCTTTTCCCTTTTTGCCTTATATACATCTGTTTTCTCTGACTTCTTTGTATACAGTCAGCTCTTGAATATTTGCTCCAGTGGAGGGAAACAGAGGCATGGATAATCCAAACTGAAATAATCCCCAAAACATTTATTTTTGGCTTTGGGTACTTACCTTTGAATGTGGGTATGTCTGTTATTTGAATTAACTAAAACAGTATACAGCCATGCTCTGAAGACATGATAGCAAGAGACGCTATCCAGCATCCTTCCCTACAGTCCATTCATTTCATGCTGGGACTAGACATGCAGAACATTAATGTAAGCAGTGCAGTACTCTCTCATTTTTTCCCTTATTAATAATAATAATATTAATGATAATGATACTAAATGTTTTTATAGCTCCTTAGAATTAAACTTTCAGTGTACTTTTTCATACATTCTGTTGTCTAATTCCTACTACAATCCACTGAGGTTAATAAGGCAGATATTACCCCGTATTATAGATGTGAAGAAGCTTAGAGAAGATAAGTTCCTTATTCAAGGTCACATGACTAGGCAGGTCTTTTGATTCCTAGTCCAGTGCTATTGTATGTAACCCCAGCACATGTATGTCATAGGACTTACTTATCAACTGTTCCTCAAATACAGGAGGAGGGTATAGTCAAATGATTAACTAGAGTGTTGGTAGGCACTTGTGTTTTTCATTGTCAACCAACAGATATAATTAAACATTTTCTCATTCTGGATCCTAAATAATGAACTCTGTATTAATTTACTTTAAGAAAATTCGGAATATTATTTAGCTCTCCACCTAGTATAATAAATTGATGTAACTCCTCCCATAACATTTGTAAGCATAAATCTTGGGCACTGAGCCCTGGAAAGAGGAGATCACATTTACTGCAGATCTGTTTTCAATAATTGTTAAAGGGTAATTTAGGCCTTTCTAGAGTTATTTTTCAGGCTTTGAGATTTAAATTTTGAGCTCTATGTTTGAATTTCTTAAAGTTATATCAGGGCATAAAAAATAGCTATGAAATTTGCTCTTTTATATTCATATAATTTGTATTAACTCCTAAGATAACTGTGTTAACATATAACTGATATCAATACAAAAATGTAATATTACAACCGAATTTCACGTTTAATATCATTTAATGGTTTGAACATTTAGAATAAATGGGAGACTTACCTGATTATATGTGCTTTCTTCAAAATTCTTGATTTTTAACTATTTTTTGTACCATATTTTAATATTAATGTAATGATTAATTTCTTAAAGCAAATATTCTCATTGTTTTTGTAGGTTACTATTCGAGCTTCAGTTGGACCTCTGCAATCAGGAGCTTCACCTACACCTTCCATTAGTGCAAGTGCTTCTACCCTTCAGCTCTCACCACCAAGGACTAAAAATATAACTGCTAAAAATCCTCCAAAATCTAGTACAAGTAAACCTAATACAATCAAATGCAACACAAGTAAACCTAATACAAGTAAGCCTAATGGAAGTAAATCTAAATACAAATCAAAAATCTCTAATATGCAAAAGAAACAAAGCACATTGGCTAGTAGCAATAAAAAAAGTAAAGTTAATACAGCACTGAGGAATTTAAGGTAATCTTTTATTCCTGATATACAATATAATTTAAACTTAAGTATAAAAACTTTATACTTTAGTTAACAGAACATTAATAAAGATCTTCCTTAGTATTTTTGTTTTAAAATGTATTTTTATCACTTTTTTATGTCTCCCTAAGGTATCGTCTGGGCGTTCACAAGTGCATTGAGTGTTGTTCCGAAATAAAAGATTTTGCAAACCACTTTCCTACGTATGTCCACTGTAGTTTTTGCAGATACCACACTAGCTGCAGCAAAGCCTATGTAAATCATATGATGAGGTAAGATGAATTAAATGTGTTCATGGCCAATCAGGTTTCTGTTCTGAAAACAAAGTTACTCTATTGGAAGCCAGTTTTACTCTTCAAGGGGCTAAAAGGATCTAACAGTAAGGAACTTTTAGGCTATTGCCTGGTCCTGTTTCTCAGCATAGTAACTCCAGAAATTGTGGGACTAAAATTGTGAGAAAAATTAAGCTAATGAAATTAGAATAGGTTTGTTAGGGAAATAGTTTTTCTTTTTTATTTTTTTGAGATGTAGTCTCATTCTGTCTCCCAGGCTGGAGTGCAGTGGTGCCATCTCAGCTCACTGAAACCTCCACTGCCTGGGTTCAAGCAATTTTCCTGCCTCTCTGCCACTCCAGTCGCTCCTGAGTAGCCACCATGCCCGGCAAAGTTTTTAGATTTTTAGTAGAGGCAAGTTTTTACCATATTGGCCAGGCTGATCTCAAACTCTTGACCTCAAATGATCTGCCTGCCTCGGCCTCCCAAAGTGCTGGGATTACAGGCCTGAGCTGTTGTACCTGGCTGGGAAATAGTTTTTCCATGGAACTTTTTATTGTCCCATTGGTGTTTCAGTAATGGTTATTTTTCAACAAAATGTAAAATTTTTAAATATGTTTACTAAAAAATCTCATCCTCTTTAAAGCAGTCCCTTTGAGAGACTTGAAGGTTTTTCAAAGGAGTCTGTTTCTCTTTCTGTATTCCAGCTGTCTTTATATCCACGTGTCAGGCCATCTATACTTGCATTCATTCAGTGAAAATGAGAGACTATTCTAGTCATGATGCCACTTTTGCAGTTCTTTTTCATTAATTCATTCCACTTAGATTATTTGAGTACTTAGCATTTACACGATGTTAGGAAAAGCCTTCAGAGTCTGCATTACTTCCATTTAGGTCTCATTAGGGGAATAGTTTATTCCTTCAGAATATTGTATTTTTTTAAAAAAAGGCCAAAGTTATTTAGATGTAACCCTGATAGTTTGCTTATTCAAAGTGACTTTGTTCAATTTTTTTAAAAAAATTAGCATCAATGTATTATAAGTGAGTTTCTTGCAGATGACAACGTGACTTCTCTGTTACTTTCTGGGCATTATCAACTACTGCTTTCCAGGATTCTTCTACTTTACTTGCTGGCTTCAGCAGTTCTCTCAGTTTTTCCTGCTCTTGATGATCGGCCTGACCTCATGGGATCTTGCTTCTCCAGTGCCAGCATTTCACATCAACTTTTAAGTTTATATACTGTCTTTTTTTTCTTGAAACTACAGTACCATTAAATCTCTTTCTATCAACTGTTCATTCCTTTTGGATTTCCATTACCCCATGATGCTCAGGGCTTTGACTTCTTTTTCCAGCCTAGTAGCACCCGTCTAATTTTGCAGTCACCCTCACTCCCAGGATCATCTGTTTTCATTGCAGCTTTTTGTCCCAGAATCCTTTACATTTTTAGTTATGCTCACTTGGCATGAAGCCCAGGGTAGATTTAAACCTCATTTTTGAACTTTCTCTGTGCTCACTTCTAGACTATCAGACGGTGCTTGATTCAATCAACTCTGACTTCAGAAACTTTAACAATGCTTAGGTCCTATTTTTTCCTTTTTAAAGATCTTTATTTTTACCTTCAGCATTTGTTTAATCCTTCTTCAATACCCTAAAGATTATATTTTAGTTTCTCAGTTGTTAACCTGGCCTATTAATTAGTCAATTGTAGTCAATTTTTGTTTTTCCTAAAGTTAACTCTTTTCAACCCCACGTATTTTTCCTGTTACCTTCTTCAGATATTAATCTCAAAAATCTGACACGTCCCACTTCTCCATTAACTCTCCTTTCTCCCCGAATTCGCCATGACCATGTTCAGTCGACTTGGATCTTCATCTTTTTCTCTATATGGTTCCTTCTTACAAACACTTTCAGGTATTTAAAACATTTTTTTTTAAAGGACAGTTTTTCGCAACTGCCTATTTTCCTTATTTCTTGTCTTCCTTTTTACCATTAACATTTGTAAAAGTGTTTGCTGCCAGCTTTCTTGTGATTCATTTCTTTACCCTTTGAGTACTGCCCCCACCTACCAACTGAACATTCCTCTTGTAAAGACTGTTAGGAACTTATCACCACATTTACTCACCGTTTTTCGTTCTTACTCCTCTGTGACTTCTTTAGTCTTTGATATTGTCACTCCCTTTTTAAAACTTAATTTGTTTAATTTTCCTGAAGCCATGTGAAATTAATTAATTTAAAAATTTTTATAGAGAATAATTCATAGTTGTCGAGTACATATAATGTTTTGTTACAGCCATATAATATATAATAAACCTAGGTAATTGGGATATTCATCACTTCCAATATATATCCTTCCTTCCTTCCTTCCTTCCTTCCTTCCTTCCTTCCTTCCTTCCTTCCTTCCTTCCTTCCTTCCTTCCTTCCTCTTTCTCTTTCTCTTTCTTTCTTTCTCTCTCTCTCTTTCTTTCTCTCTCTCTCTCTCTTTCTTTCTTTCTTTCTCTGTCTCTGTCTCTCTCTCTCTCTCTCTTTCCTTCTTTTCTTTTCTTTTCAATGGGGTCTCATTGTCACTCCAGAGTGCTAGGTGGTACAATCAAAGCTTACTGCAACCTGAAACTCCTGGGGTCAAGTGATCCTCCTGCCTTAGCCTCCTGAGTAGCTATATAGGTGTGTGCCACTATGCGCAGCTACATTTATCATTTCTTTGTGTTGGGAACATTCAGAATATACTCTTCTAATTATTTTGCAATATACAAGAAATTCTTGTTAATTGTCATCACACGTAGCTCTTGGTGTTAGTGTCATATGGAACTAAAAGCTTCCATTGCCACTCTTTTTAGGGTTTGATAGGTCTTTTTGTCTTTTTCTCAACTTCAGCAGTACCCTTGCTTCCCTCATTGCCTTAGGTGCATCCCGCTGAATGGTGAACTCTCCTTTGTAGTGTTGATTCTTGAGGTCTATATATACAGAAGCCTCATTTTCTCCAAAGCACTAGAACCTTTAATTCCTATCCCATACTAACACTGTAGCCTCTCAATTGGTCTTTTTCCTTCTGGTCTCATACCTGCCCCAATCCACCCCTGTAAGTTGGTTAATCTTCCACAGAGTACAGATTCTTCCATATTCATATTCTTTCTTTTTTTTCTTTTTTGAAAAAAAAATCTCACTCCAACCCAGGCTGGAGTGCAGTGGCTCCATCACAGTTCACTGCAGCCTCAACCTTCTGGGCTCAGGTGATCCTCCCACTTCAGCATCTTGAGTAGCTGGCACTTACAGGCATGCACTACCATACTCAGATAATTTGTTGTAGAGATGGGGTTTTTCTGTGTTGCCTAGGTGGGTCTTGGGCTTCTGGGCTCAAGCAATCTGCTCACTCCGGCTTCCTAAAGTGCAATGATGATAGCTGAACCCTCCACTGTGCCCACCCCCAGGCTTGTTTTCTGCAGTGACCTTTCTGTATTTTTTGTGAGTTCCCAAAATGCCTTGTTCTTTCCTCTCAGTTTACCTTCTTTTTTTAAATGTCTGATCACCAGAACCATTACTTTCTTTGAATTGTGTAGTATTTATCTATTTTGCATTTTTTTTTTTTTTTTGAGACAGAGTCTTGCCCTGTCACCCAGGCTGAAGTGCAGTGGCAAGATCCTCCGAGGTTCAAACAATTCTCCTCCCTCAGCCTGCTGAGTGGCAGGGATTACAGGTGCCTGCCAACACACCCAGCTAATTTTTATATTTTTAGTAGAGACAGGGTTTCACCATGTTGTCCAGTTTGGTCTCAAACTCTTGACCTCGGGTGATCCACCTGCTCGGCCTCCGAAAGCTGCGATTATAGGTGTCAGCCACCATGCCCAGCCCTATTTTGCCTTTTATTATATTTATTTGTGTCTGCATTATTTCCTTGAGAAGAAGGGGTCTTTGTAGTCATCATATTACCTAGCGCATTACAAACTGCAGGTGATAGTTATCACTTGTTGTAATTATAAAAGGTCCTAAATAAAATCTCAAAAGAAGGTATTCAACAATCTTGAAGTAGTTGGAGTATTGTTGAAGTAAGATCCTTTCAAAGAAAAACATCATTAAATGTGTAATTTTTTAAGCAGCATTATTTAGGTTCGGTTGTTTAAATTATTGCACCATATTTACTTACAGCTTTTAGGTAGTAATAGAAATTATCTGAAAAAATGCATAGAAATTGCTCTATAATATTGCTATTATTTCTCAAAATGATGTATAAGGAGCATTTTTCTTTACATAAAAGAGGTTAAAGTTAACATAAGTAACCAGTATCTCTTTTTTTGTAGCAGAGTTTTATTTCAGCCAGGTTCATTTATTTCATTATGTACCTACTAGGAAGGTATTTAATACAATTTGCTAAGAAGTATGGCAAGCTGGTGGTGAACAATCAAACAAGACTGGATTTGAACCCAAGCTTCACTATATATGTGTGGAACTTTGAACAGGTTACTTAATCTGATTCTCAAGATTGCTTTTCTTGAAAATAAAGTTATCAAGATTATTAGAAAAAATGTATTAAAGTGCTTAATAACAATTTGCACTTAAGAGATATTTAAGTAATGATAGCTATAATTTCTAAGTTGTCATTATTAGGATTGGGGGTAGTCTTTGATTGTAATTTTCACAATTTAGGAGAGATAAATTTACCTAGCTTAATGTGATAAACAAATGACTATGAGAGTACAGAGGAGATAAGTATGAAATCTTTAAACAAGAAATAAAGGAAGATTTTCTGTAAATTTCACTTAGGCTTTGAGGGATGATTTAAAAAATTGCCAAGGAAAAGGAAAGCCAGTATAAAAGTTTGTTTCTTATACATTAGGTAAGACAGAGTACTGAATTTTTAAAAGATCTGCTTGATTTCATTATAAATTTTACATAAATGTGTTGACACTAAGTGATAATCGTAGGGTTAGCTGGACTATTATGATAACATCATAACTTGTCTTCTGCCTACAGTTTTTCCCTTTTATCTAGTTCATCCTTTCTTTTGCTGTAGGCAAATCTGGGCAGGTCATTCTTTGACCTAAAATCCTTTGATTTCCTAACATTGATAGGATGAAGTTCAGAATTTCTGGAAAATATCACACCTTTCCATATCAAATTCCTAACTACTTTGGGCATTCGTTCTGTGCCGCTCCCTCTCTCCCACAGACACTTCCCCCAAGCAACCAAAAACTCTAGGGCAGGCAACTTGCCTTTGTTACTGTATCATCAGCCTCTATTCTAGTGTCTTAAAATTGCTAAGAAAATTCTTCCTTTTGTGTTTCTTAGAAAGTAAAGTTGTTACTTACATGGAGTCAAGATTATGAAGAAAATAATGGTTGAAGGAGGTTTTTGTCCTTAGTTTTCTTGAGGTATAATTAATACACAATAAAATTCACCTATTAGAGAATAGCTTAACGAGTTTTGGTAATTATATACCGTCAGTTAACCAAGTAGGGAATGTTTTAAAATTAGGTTTTACATTATATTTTTACTGTATCGTAATATAAAACTTTTCTTAGATTTATTTCTATATTGCCATTACCTTTATGGAGAGCTAATAGGAAGAAGGATGGTATTTTTTTTCCTCTTTATTTGTGAGCTGTGAATTCACTTTTCCCTTCCTATGATACACAAATCTATAAGTATGGAATTAAGTACAGGTAAATCAAAGAGGTGGTAGAAATCCCTTTTTATAGATGAGAAACTCTAGAACAGAATTCAGGCAACTAAAAATTTAAAATTACCAACATTATGATATGGTATAAGTTGTAGATAGATGAAGCGGCTATCAAAAAGACCCCGTAATGTAATATTTTCTCTTCTCTTATATTTAGTAGCTAAATAAACCAAAAACAGTCTGCTTGTTCAAAGAGAAAGATTAACAAGTTTTTAAGTCTTATTTAAAAATAACTTATTTTGGTGCACATTTTGTAGGAATCGTGGATTCATTTCTCTGAAGAAATACAGTTATGTATACAAGTTTTTGCATATAATTTGAGGGCTTCCCAACTTCCCAATATACTCTTCTAAGAAACCTTTATTTCTGTGATACCACCTTAAATTTGTAAACTCTAATAGTAAGTACTCCCAGGTTGATGAAATGACTATTAGAAATCTGAGGCTCTTTTCTGGGGATTATAGCTAGCCAGAATATGTGTGTATATATATTTTCCTGTACATTAATGTTGTGCTGGGGACAGTTACCTTGTATGTGAGAGTAACCGTTGACCCAGATACTGGTGTGTTGGCTGCTACTTCTCAAACTTTGGCTTGTATATGAATCACTGAAAATGCTTGTTAAAGCAAATTCCTGAGCTCCGCTGCCCTCTGTGTGTTTGAGGGGTTGTCATGGGGCAGGGGTTGTTGGTCGGGGAAGACTGCATTTTGAAATACAGTAGTCCCCCTTGCCAACTGGGATATATATGTTCCAAGACCCCTGGTGGATGCCTGAAACTGTGGATAGTATTAAGCTCTATGTACTACACTGTTTTTTCTTATACATACACATCTACATACAACAAAGATTGACTTATAAACTGGACACAGTAAGATAATTAACAATAACACAACAATTATAATGTACTGTAATAAAAGTTATATGAATGTAGGCTGTCGCTCTTAAAACATCTTACTGTAGTGTACGTGGGTAACTGAAGCCACAGAAAGTGAAGCATGGACAATGGTGGTGAGGAGGGACCTACTGTAAGCTGTCAGGTGATGTTTGTTACTGGTCGGGTCCTGGCTTTCTAGTACAGGAAAGCTTTTCTACTGCAATTAAAAGGGCATATAGAAGCTATTATCATGGGCTGCAAAGTTTGGTTAGTGGTTTTCTTTTCTGTGCTTAGAGGAAGCACTGTTTTGATTCATGATTTCTGCATTATTATTATTATTTTTAATAAAAAGCCCTCTACTAGAAAGCCAGATTTGACTGTGTGCCTCTGTAGTTTCAGCTACCCAGGAGGCTGAGGCAAAAGGATCACTTGAGCCCAGGAGTTTGATTCCAGCCTGGGCAACATACTGAGATCCATCTCTTAAAAGAAGAAGAGAAAAAGTCTACTAGTAATTACAAGGAGCACTCTAAATGTTTGCATTTACAGATGATAGACAGTGGCATTTAGCTCAAGTACTGCTTGCTTCCCATATCATTTAGATCCTTCCCCCCATCCCCTGCGCAAACATGTTAAGATTGGAGAGTAATAAAAAAGAATTATTGTTGATAACTGTTCGTATTATAGCACAAATGTGTAATTAACAGAAATTTAGAATTGTTTAACTCTTCATAAATTAAAATACTGAATTTGATGCTCTTTGCATTTTTTTTCTTTTTTTGTTTTTGTTTTTGAGACCATGTTTCACTCTGTCACCAGGCTGGAGTGCAGTGGCGTGATCTTGACTCACTGCAACCTCTGTCTCCTGGGTTCAAGCGATTCTCCTTCCTCAGCCTCCTGAGTAGCTGGGACTAGAAGGGTACAGCACCACTCCCAGCGAATTTTTATATTTTTAGTAGAGACAGGGTTTCACCATATTGGTCAGGCTAGTCTTTAACTCCCGACCTTGTGATCCACCCGCCTCAGCCACCTGAAGTGCTGGGATTATAAGCATGAGCCACCATGCCCGGCCACTCTTTACATTTTCTTAATTTTCAGTATTTCCTTTTTTAACATAATAGTAAGGTACAGTGCTAATTATCTAAAAATATGCCTGGGAAAATAGTGTCATTAGAATATAATAGGTAAAATGGAATGTAAGACAAAATGTTGAATTAAATGGAAATGACAGGCATTTTATTATTTACATTATAATCTTTTCTTAAAACTAGAAATTTAAGTATGAACTTGAAATATAAATTAATGTGACTTACGGTATAATAAAATCATTCCCATCTCTTTTGTTTCTCCAGCTTTCATAGTAACCGTCCAAGCAAAAGGTTTTGTATTTTTAAGAAGCATTCAGAAAATCTCAGGTAACTAGTTGATCTTTTTTTACTCTTTCTATTGAAAAATTGTAATGACTTAAATTTGTTTTACACAACAGCTTTATTGAGTTAGAATTAACAGGGCGGGCACAGTGGCTCACGCCTGTAATTCCCAGCACTTTGGGAGGCTGAGGCGGGTGGATCACAAGGTCAAGAGAGCGAGACCACCCTGGTCAACATGGTGAAACCCCGTCTCTACTAAAAATACAAAAATTAGCTGGGAGTGGTGGCGCATGCCTGTGGTCCCAGCTACTTGGGAGGCTGAGGCAGGAGAATTGCTTGAAGCCGGGAGGCAGAGGTTGCAGTGAGCCGAGATTGTGCCACTGCACTCCAGCCTGGCACCTGGCAACAGAGCAAGACTCTGTCTCAAAAAAAAGAATTAACATACCATACAATTTATGTGTTTATAGATTTTAGTATATTCACAGAGTCCTGCAGCAATCACCAGTTAGTTTTACTACATTTTTATCACTCCGAAAAGAAACCCTGTACCCATTAGTGGTCATTCCCATTTTTTTCCGGCTTTCCCCATCCCTAAACAACTAGTCTACTTTCTGTCTGTGTAATATTTGCCCATTCTGGGCGTTTCATATAAAAAATGTTACATGATATAGTCCTCTGTGACTGGCTTATTTCATTTAGCATAATGTTTTCAAGATTCATCTGTATTGCAGTATGTATCAATATTTCATTGTTAACAATTACAGCGTAGCATTCCATTGTAAAGATATATCATAGTTTATTTATTTAGATTGTTTTCATTTTGAGGCCCTTATGAATAAAACTGCTGTGAACGTTTGTGTGCATGTTTTTGTATGGTCATGACTTTTTATTTCTCTTTAGTATATACTTAGGATTAGAATTTCTGGGTTGTTTGATAACTCCATGTTGGGCCTTTGAGGAACCACCGGGCTCTTTTCCAAAGTAGCTCCATTATTTTACATTCCCACCAGCAGTGTTTGAGGGTTACAGTTCCTCCACATCTTTGCCAACACTTTTTATTATCTCTTTTTGATTATAGTCATCCTCATGAGTATAAAGTGTCATCTCATTGTGGTTTGCTATAACTGTTTTTAGACCTGATGTTAGGGTACCTAATTTGAAAATATAAATGATTGCTACTGGACATTAGAGAGTTGTGTTTATTGACCAGCGGTGTGATGAGGCATTATTCTCTTGCTGAATTTATTTCAGTGGAAAGGTGATGTCCAGAGGAAACCTTGATGCATTTACATTGTAAAATGAGAACAAAAATAAGGCACTCCAACAATATTTGAATATTAAAAAGGTAGCTAAGCTATCTAGTATAGGAATCAACACTTTTTTAGTTTTTAAGTAAATTTCCTTTAACCACTGGAATTCTTGAAATCAGTATGTGATATTTATAATTCTTATATTTTCTTTTGAAAATAAAGAGAATTATACCATTTCATTACTGTACAGAAAGAACTGTTGATAAAATTTTCTAGAGGCATTGATAGTTAGCTTTGGTTATACCACATATTAACTTAGAATCCACTGAGCATTATTATTTCATATTCTTCTGATTCCTTGAACTTTCTTTGTTTATTTTATGTTGCCATTGCTCCTTGAAATGTCGATGTCTTTGCTCCACCAAGCTGATCTGTAGAGATAAGTTTTGCCAATATTTGCTTTGATTCTTTGGATTAGTGGAAAATGTAGAAGAGGGGATGATATGTCTCAGGACCTTTGCATTTATTATTTCCTATGCCTAGTTTGCTTTTCCCCAGATACTGTATGGCTAGCTCTTTTGTCTCTTTCAGGCCTCTACTTTGATTGAGTGAGTCTTTTATTGACTACAAAATTCAAAAAACTGTATCCTTTATCCCAGCATTCCCTATCTCCTTTTGATGCTTTACTTTTCTCTAGATCATCTGACATACTTTTATTTTAGTTGCTTATTGTTTGTGTTCTCTCACTACATTGTGTGTGGTTTGGTTTTTTGATCTATGCCTGGCACATAGTAGGCATTCAGTAAATATTTGTTGAATAAATTCATGTGTATATTGAAAATGATGTGGAAAATAGGCCCTGTCTGTGATGTCAGACTCGTAGCTCACAGGGAGAGAAAATTTCATTCAATTTTAAAAATATGTTAGTACTACTTTTAAAATATTTACTGAATCTGGGGAAATAGTTAAGCTACATCAGATGTTACCTTTACTAAAAACAGTTACGAGAGCGAATATGGCTTTACTGCATTTTAAGAACAAGATTTTAATTCAGTTTTTACCTTGTTGTCAAGTTCAGTGGTGTGTTAAGTTTCTAAGTGAACTGTGTGATTTTAAAGATCTCTTGATGTTTTTTCACTCAACTTGGGTAGTCTCAAATTGAAAATTGTTTTTCTGTGAATGGAGCTTAGCATCTTTATAACTCTACATGACAATAATTTATGTAGTTACTCTTATTGAAACAGACTATTCATTCTGTAACTATTATGTATCTATCTTGCACATAAAGTAGCAGGTCCTGTAAAGAGGAAGCATTGTTGGAACCAACCTTCAGGGGAAGGTACAACATTTTATCGTGTGGGAGTTAAGGTGTGAACATAAATAACTATGAATTTTAATAAGGGCAATGAGAGTTACTTGAGAGAGGAAAAAGATTACCGGTCTTATAGTGGTCTGGATAGGTGTTAGGCCTACTTGACTTTAAAGAATGGGTATTGTTTCTACTGGTAGAAGAGGCACAGGGGCATTCTAGTTCAATAGACTAAATATTTTTCAAGACTTCTGTGTACAATTCAGATTACCTAAGGCAACAACAGCACTTATACATTTAACATAATTGATTTTCTTTTAAATAGCACTTCAGATGCTTGGTGTAACAAACTCCCAAGTGGTTAACGCATAACTATAAGAAATTAAACATATAGTGGCTAAGTTCTCTGAACTATTTTAGTATTTTACAGGCTTAATATTTCAAAACACCTTTCAGCTAAAAATCACAAGTCTAAATGCATTTTAAATTAGAATCTTAATGTACTTTATGTCAAGTATGTTCAAATACTTGAAATAGCAAATGCTAAACAGTTAAATCCAGTGAGTACAAAGCTATTCCTGTATTCAAAAATAAAGTATTGGTAACTAGACAATTGTTTCCTAACTTCTTTAAAAATGCGTACTAATTACACATTTCATTTAAGAACTACAGCATTCAGGCGAGGCGCAGTGGCTCATGCCTGTAATCCTAGCAGTTGGGGAGGCCAAGGTGGGTGGATCACAAGATCAGGAGTTCGAGACCAGCCTTACCAACATGGCAAAACCCCGTCTCTACTAAAAGTACAAAAATTATTCTGGTGTGGTGGCGCACACCTGTAATCCCAGCTACTCAGGAGGCTGAGGCAAGAGAATTGCTTGAACCTGGGAGACAGAGGTTGCAGTGAGTTGAGATCACGCCATTGCACTCCAGCCTGGGTGACAGAGTGAGACTCTTTCTCAAAAAAAAAAAAAAAAAAAAAAAGCTAGAGCACTCAGGGAAGTTTTGTTGATGAGTACTTTAAGCCCCAGCAGATAGACTAGTTCACAGTGCTGGAATCATGAGGAACTCAAGTTTGCAGACTTCCATATTTTATTAACTACTTTAGCTAGTTCAGTGTTAAATGAGAGTAATACCAACCTTGATGGCTGTAGTGAGAATCAGATGAAATAGTACATGGGAAAACACTTAACATATAATGCACAATTGATGGTGGCTGTAACGTACTCTATTTTTAAAGCCTTCACATTTTTCTTCTGAATTTAGCTCCAACTAAATAAACACCAGATTGTAAGTAAGCTCCATTATTGCATAGACAGTACTATTTTTTTGTTCACTATTCTATTCACTGTACCTAGTAGTACAGTATATATGAAAACAGCTTCAGTAAATATCAAGTGAATGAATATGCTATCTACACTTTGCAGATGAGTAGAAGGGCAAATAGAATGTGACTTGCCTAAGTTACACAAGTTGATTATGGAGACAAGACTGACTCTAGGTCTTCTGACTCCTAACTTTTAACAACTGGCATGAAGGCAAAAGTATGAAATAAATACTTTCTGTAAATAAATAGCATAATTTGGGCATGGCTGTGTCATTTTCCAGAGAATAGTTTCAGTTTATGTCAAATTTATATAACAAAAATGGGAAGTTATAGTTATGTTTGACACAAAAAGCAAATTATGGAAAAATAATCATCAAACTTGTATATGGTTATTCATAAAAGATAAAAATCTTTTTATAATTTTTTTTTCCAGGGGCATTACTCTAGTGTGCCTTAATTGTGATTTCCTAAGTGATGTTTCTGGCTTAGATAATATGGCTGCACACTTAAGTCAGCGTGAAACTCATACTTGCCAAGTTGTAATGCAGAAAGGTACGTAGATGTAACTGTGCAACTTTAGATTTTTGATATTTATTCCAGTATTTTTAGTCATCCACAATATGGTCTCTTTACTAAATCATTATTCTCACTCATCATATTTCATATGCTGTTGTAAATGTAAAACTTTTCTTCTAATTTCAGTTTCTGTTTGTATCCCAACTTCTGAGCACCTTTCTGAGTAAGTTTAATTTTTATTCAGTGCATTTGACTTTGATGGATGTTAGCACTATTGCATTTTTAAGTGTATCATTAATATGAATGAAAAGTATTAAAGTATTTTGTTTTTTTTTTGTTTTTTTTGTTTTTTTTTTTAAAGCTGCTTGTTGAAATAGGTTCCTGCTCTATGGAGCTCGTGACCTGGTGCAAGACAAGTTGGAATTTCCTAAGTTCAAAGTTCTGAGATGTTTTCTTACACAAAGGCAGTTAAGCAGCCAAGTTCCTGACACTAGCTCTCTTTATTCAGCTCTTTTCAGCTTTCGAATGGGGCTAGATTCCTATTCCACCTTATCTTTGTGTCAGGTTGACATATCTTAACATATTTTTTTTCTCCAGTTTGCGCTCTCTAAAAATAACGTTTGTTGCTCTGTCTTTTCTTTGCTTAAAATAATTTTTGTTTTTCTCTGCTGTACTTGCCTTCAGAATGTTAGATTCCAAATGATATGGCTGTTTGTCTTTTTGTCTGTTTGTCTGCTTTCTTAATTTCTTATACGTCTTAAGTTTTAGGCCAGATGACTGTCTTTTTCCTCATTCGTTGTCTGTCATTGTGCTATTTTTCTTATTTTTCAGATGCAGAAGCAGCCCAGAGATTTCAAAATATGTCCAGGGTATACCTGGACCGTGTCCCCCTTCGATGGACACAACTGATGCCTGTTCTCTCTTTCCAAGGAGTGTGAATAATTTGACTGTGGGACCTGCTCTTAGGTTGTGGCCTCAGGAAATCAGATCTTGGGGAGACTCCCTTTCTACATGGCTGGCCTCCCATAAGGCTGATGCTGTTTGGCCAGAGATGGCTTTAAGGCCCACCAAATTGAGCATACTTCCCACTGGGGGCTTTGGCTCATGATCTTAAGCTTATGAGGCAATTATGACCAAGAAAAGCCCATCAAATCACTGCTTCAACATCCAAGTTGAAGTTTAATCATTTTGGCTGCTGCCCTTAAATCTTTCTCTAGCATGAATGCAGTCCAAGGAATATTAAAACTAGTTGTTAGGAAACCATGGCTATTTTCATATCCTTGGAACAACAGGTCTCCACAGTTATGTTCCAAAATTGCAGTTATTTTTGCTGACATATAAAATCTATTAACCAGTATTAATTCTGTAATTTTTTTAACCATAACAAGTTTTGCATTTTGTTTTTTTTAATTAATTTAATTTTAATAGCTTGGTTTTATGTTCTCAAAATTTATTAATGTCTATTTTATGATGTCTATTTTTATATTATTTTATTTAAAATTTGTTAGTGTTTGTTTTAAGAACTCCAAGAGATTTCATAGAATTCTCTACAGATTTTGTGTAGCTGCCTATTTGTAGATTTTAAATTTGGCTGTTACTCAGCCCATTAGACATTATTATTAGATACTCTGTCCCACTGGGATTATTATTAATATTACCTCAATTGTGGGTTCTTAGGTGTAAAGAATTGGCAGTACTATTTGCAGACCGTTAGAGCCAGTTTTAAGGTTACATATTTGTCATGTATGATGTAATATCTACTAAGCCATTAATGTAGCTCCTTTGGGTAAAGGTAATATATTAAAAAAATACATGGATGGTAATCAGTAATGCATGTATTTATTTCCTTTATATATTTTAAGTTTGGCATGTGTTTATTTTAGTTACATTGAATATAGATCTAAACATTTTTGATACTATTATTTTCTTTTAATAAAAATTATATTGTTTAAGTGCCTCAGGATTATTTACTAATGAATAAAAGGTATAGATTTTATTCTATAAAGAGGAACACTGCTCTAATTATTATATGGAAGCCTTGTTACTTGGCTGCAGACAGAGTGCTGTATCTACTTAGTACACCTTGCATTTTTTTCTTGCGTACAATGAAAAGGTTATTATTTATACTCTACTAATTTCTTAAATTTAAAAGACTAGCAAAATGCCTTTTGTGATACTAATAGCATAAGGATAGGAAGGCTCTGAAATTATGACTCAGCGGTGGATTTTTACTGTAAAATCAGAACTTCTCTATTTGCATTTTAGAACATTTTTAAAGCCAGTTTAGGTGACCATGTATTATAAGATGTGTGCAATTAATTATCAAAAGAATTATTAGTTCTAAATTTCCAAACTAATTTATATCTCAAATGAAAGGTTTTCCAAAATCTTCACAAGTGGTTTGTTTTGTAGAGTGGACTTAGCGATATACTAGTTTTTTTTTTTTCCTTATTTGTCTCTAGGAATTTTTGCTGTCTACCCTCGTTCTACCCAGTTTTTAAAAGTTTATCCAGAAACAGTAACTTTTCTATTTTAAACATTAGTTCTCTATTCATTTACAGATATTCACATTACCTTGGTCATAGGTCAAAAGCAGGATAAACCACATTCTTAATATAGTAATGTAGGAGTACAGTCAACCCTCCATATCCTTCGGTTTCATGTCTGCAGATTCAGCCAACCATGGATTGAAAATATTTCAGGGGGAAAAACAATGAGAAATAACAATACAACAGTAAAAAATACAAATGAAAACAATACAATATAACAACAGTTTACATAGCAATTATATTGTATAAGTGACCTGAGCATCTGAGGACTTTATTATTCTTGGTGGGGGCTTGGGGAAGTAGGGGGACTTGTGGGATGAGGGCAGGTCCTATAACCACTCCCCTACAGATACCAAGGAACAACTGTACTTCTTTGTGGTCTTACATAGAATTTTATTTTTTATAGTATGTATCAAATTCATTTTCTTAAAATATGAACTCTTAAAGTTCTGTCACCAGTAAATTCATTAAAAAAAAATTGGTTCAGATAAAACACTTGGCAATCAGTACAGAGTTTGCTTATTGTAGACAATTAGTTGAATTTCATTTTGGTGCTAATGAGTTTTAGCTTGAGTCTAATCCCACCTTACCATCATGTTATTCTAGTTTATTCATCTGGTCAGATAGCCATTTCATGCATATGTGCTTTTTGGCTACTGTTGAATAAAAGGTGTGATTGGTTCAGTTTGAGTCCAACACCATTCTTAGGAAAATAACAAATGTGGGTGAAGGGGAGGAAGGCAGCAAAACACACTGCCATGTGTGTACCTATGCAACTGTCTTGCATGTTCTGCACATGTACCCCAAAACCTAAAATGCAATAAAAAATAGTAATAATTATTAAACTACAGAGGCTCAGACTCTTGCCCTATTTTTGTCACATTTTGGCAAAATGCTTTTTTATTCAGGGAATATTTATTGAGCATCTACTTTGTGCCTGGCAGTGTCCCAGGTGTTAGAAACACAGACTGAAATCTCTGGTCTTACGGAATTTACATTACAGCTGTGAAAGGCAATAAAAACTAAATAAAACATATAATATGTTAGATGATGATCAATACTAGGGGAGAAATATGAATCGGAGAAGGGGCATAAAGGAGTATGGGGTAGGAGTTGGAAGGCTACCATTTTTAATTTAGTGAGGCCTCACTGAGAGATGACATTGGAGTGAAGACATGAAGCTGGCAAAGGAAGTGAGCCACTTGGATGTACATGGAAAGAGCGTTCCAGAGAGAAGGGATAGCTGGTGCAAACGCCCTGAAGTGGGATCATTTCTGATTTAAGAAACCGCAAGGAGACTGGCTTGGGTGCAGTGGAGTAAGCAAGGGAGGGCATAGTAGGAGGTGGGACCTGTGAGGTAATTTGGGCCACATGGTATAGGACTTTATAGTCCTGTGGAATTTGGCTTTTACTTTGAGATGAGCAGTCACTAGAAGATTTTAAATAGAGGAGAGCTCAATAAAAGCCAGAATGAATAAAATAGGAAGGATTGCCTGTATCACTCTAGCTGCTGTCTTGACAATAACTTTAGAAAACCATGTGCAGAATTAGGGAGACCAATTAGGGAGCTATTATGATAATTCTGGTAGGACATGGTGGAGGTTTAGGCTAGGATGCAGTGTAGGTGATAAGTGGTTTAATTTTAGATATATATTGAATTTGTGGAAGGTTTGTATGTGAAATGTGAGAAAGAATGTTGAGGATAACTCTATAGTTAATAGTCTGAGCAACTGGAAAGATGGTGGTGAGAAGACTATGGGAGGTGTGGAATTGGTAGGGAAGATGAGGACTGTGATTTGGGACATGTTTTAGTTTGAGATACCTATTAGATATCTACGTGGAGATGTAGTTATTTGCCTTTATGAGTTTCAGGGAATGTTCTAAGCTATAAGTATCATTTAGTATTTTAAAATACTAAATACTAACATCTAAGCTGTAAGTATCATTTAGTATTTTAAAGTACTAAATACTAACATCAGGAGGATGAATACAAGTAAAACTGGGAAAATCTGAATGAAATTGGTATATGAGCAGTCAGTATCCTGGTTGTGATAATATACTATAGTTTTGTAAGATGTTAGTATTGGGAGAAACTGGGTAAACATGAGATCTCTGTATATTATTTCTTACAGTTGCATGTGAATCTACAAATGACCCACTCCCAAAAATAATTCAATTTTGAAAAGTCATGGGACTGTATCCCAAAGAGGTGGTTGCCTGTCTGTAGTGTCAGCTGCTTGGGAAGCTGAGGTAGGAGATCCCTTGAGCCTGGGAGGTGGAGGCTGCAGTGAGCCATGATCATTCCACTGCACTTCAGCTTGGGTGACGAGTGAAACCTTGTCTCAAAAAAAAAAAAAAGGTCACCAAACAATATGTATAAAGGGCAAGATCCACAGACTGAGCTCTGGGGAACATACAGTAAGAGATTAGGGAGATGAAAAGTAATCAGCAGACTAAGGTGTGGCCAGTGATGTGCGGGGGGAGGGGAGACCAAGAGAGTAGCAGTGTTCTGGAGCCCCTATTACCGTATTTGTAAAATGTGGGTGCTGACTTGTTTTTCTTTTCTTTTTTTTTTTTTGAGACAGAGTCTTGCTCTGTTGCCAGACCCCAGGCTGGAGTGCAGTGGCTCGATCTCGGCTCACTGCAACCTCCACCTCCCGGATTCAGGCAGTTCTCCAGCTTCAGCCTCGAGAATAGCTGGAACCACAGTGGTGTGCCACCACGCCCAGCTAATTTTTGTATTTTTTAGTAGAGAAGGGGTTCCACCATGTTCTCGATCTCTTGACCTCGTGATCCGCCCGCTTGGGACTCCCAAAGTGCTGGGATTATAGGCGTGAGCCACTGTGCCGGGCTGGGTGCTGACTTGTTCTAGAGTTCTGTGGTTCTGTTATTCAGTATTGATTCTACCTAAATGTCATGATTCATTCATATGAGAAGATGAATTTAGAATGCCACATATCCCTTTCCCAACTAGCAGGACAGGAACTCCTGACCCTGAGAAAATTAAATGTCCACATTACTCCTAGGCATGTTTAATTCTCTACAGGTAGTCTTGTATAAGCAATTCTCTTGCATTTCTATAAAAGAAGGTAATTAGGTCAGTGCTTCCCAAAGTCTGTACTGTAGAACTAATGTACATAATTTATAAATGGTCTGGGGGAAAAGTTTCCATGGCCAAATAAGTTTAGGAAATGAAAGTTAAATAGATTCTGTAATATAGGAATTTTTTAAACGCTATATGTGAACTGTGAATGTCTAAAAGCATATTTACTTGACCTGGGAAATGTTTTCCTTCAATACTTATTAAACTTCTTGAGATTAATCTCCATAGAACTGTGTGTAGAATGCTGATATAGATTTATGATTCTTCAGATTTTCTTAGTTGGGAAAGAAAAAGTAGTTTTGTAGAGCATTGTCTAAAGAAGGACTCCTAGACATTTTATTCATTTCATGAGTCATCTGTAAGGTGTAGTTTATAACTAGATGCTGCAAAATACATCTTCATATTTTTAGAAATTATATCAGGAAAAATGGCATCCTCATTATTATGTTTGTAGAATCTAAAATATACGTAACTGAGACAGAGCAGTTATTAGCCTGGTTGACCCCCATGTAGAAGCAAGGGATAGATTTGTTAGAAAATATGGTTGCCTGCCGTGATTTCTCACTCAGGAGCGTAAGAATCTCTTATACTTGTTTCTAGCTTCTATCTGTAACTATGCTTAGCTTATCAACCTACTCACCTACTTTTCTTGAGACCATTAGTACTTCCAGTATTTTATTATCTATTTTATCTACTAGGAAGTTTATTTTGTCAAGTTTTACTTCCTTAAATGGCGTCAGGAGATCTTCCCTGATCCTAAGATTAGGAGATTTGATACCCAGCTCGACATTAACTCTCTCAGACCCTTAAAGGGAAAGGATGGTGTAGTGGTTAGAGAGCACAGGCTCCATAGTTGATTGCCTAGTTTGGAGAGAGAGAGAGTATAATTGTTTTTAATCATCCACACTGAAACCTATCTGTTCATCCATACCATTGTGAAATATGGTGTTGCAAAAAGAGTGCAGCTTTGAAATAAGATGATTTTATGTTTAAATCCTAGTTTTGTATCTAACTGACTCTGCATTCTTGAGTAAATTACTTAACCTTGCAGACCTCAGCTTCCTCATCAGTAAAAGATATGTAATAAATTCCTTTCTGGGTAGCTGTGAAAAATAGAGATAGAGATAATGTATAAAAATTAATTAGACTGGGAACGGTGGCTCATGTCTGTAATCCCAGCACTTTGGGAAGCCAAGGTGGGTGGATCACAAGGTCAGGAGATTGAGATCATTCTGTCCAACATGGTGAAACCCCCTCTCAACTAAAAAATTAGCTGCTTGTGGTGACATGTGTCCATAATCCCAGCTACTTGGGAGGCTGAGGCACGAGAATCACTTGAACCCAGGAGGCGGAGGTTGTGGTTAACCGAGATGGCACCACTGCACTCCAGCCTGGTGACAGAGTGAGGCTCCATCTCAAAAAACAAAAAACAATTAATTAAATTATTAATTTCAATAATTTAGCTAAATATTTAATTTAAATTATTTGGCACTGGCCAGACAGATAGCAGACACTCAATAAATGCACATAGTTGTTGCCACTGCTGTTTTAGCTGCTGCTGCTATTACTGCTGTTACTACTATTGTTTCTGCTATTTCCTGATAACAGGAAACCCTGGAAACTACTTATCAGTGGAATCTTCTCATTATTGAGAGTTTTAGTGGCAATACACTATGGTTATTCGTAATTTTAACTTAAAGTTCACAGGCCTGGCAGCATATGTTTCCAAACTGCCGGGTGGATGGCATCTTACTGCTACTGCAGTGCTTTAATGAATCTTGGAAGATTCTCTAATGTTAGAATTGAGAGTATTCTGGTTTTTCCAGTCCAAAAACTATGAAACAATACTGCCTTGTTGAAAACTAGCACAGAATCCTCTCTGTTTAGAAAGAAAGATTTTCTTTATTGCTTATGGAATTCTTTCTTCAACTAAAACCTTTTATTAATTACTACCAGGCATTTATTTTCAGAAATCTTGGCTATTTATTCTGTACTATTAATTTTATAAAAATGTTTAATTGTACTAGCTAGCAATAGTCATGTAGCTTTTTCTTTTGAAATGATTTTTTTTAAATCTGCCTTTTTCAAATATTACAGATACTGTAACTCAGTTGTGAGTTCATTTCTCAGTCCATTTCTTCCCTCCTCTGTTTCTCTGTTTATCTTCCTGGATGGATGAATTATAACAAAATAGAAGTAAAGGCTTGAGTTTTGAAGGCTTATTTTTCTTGCCAAAAAGTCAAGAATAGAATGATAATTTCTTATAGCAGATCTTCACACTGTAAGAATCTGTGGTAAATACATAACTCCAGCTTGCTAAACTAGGCTGCTTAACTGGTTGCCTGTTTTATTGTTGAATCAAATATCCTAAAAGCCACAATGTGAAGAGATTTTAAAGCTGATTCAGTTCTCCAAGTGACATCCACATTTGTTCTAAGCAAAGTAGAATGGGAAAAACATTGGCAGTCAAAGTATCAGAGTTTAAGAACCCAGCTGTCTCACTAACTTTAAGGGAAAATTACTCAGCTTCTTTTTCTGTGAAATGGGATTGAAAATATCTGTGTTTTGAAGATTTTAAAAATATGTAAAATGTGTTTCACAGATGTTAATGTGTGTATTATACTTTATTAAATCCCCCTAATTTAATGAGGTTTATACTTAGCACCAGTAGCAACTACATGGCTCATTAACAGTATGATATAGATAACCCTCCCATATATTATTCTTTGTCACTGAAAATTGATACCCTACTTTTTATGTGTATAAGATTCTGTGTCAGGTGTTGGAAATGAAAATATAAATAAAATATGGTTTATACCACCAAAGCAATTACAGAATAATGGAATTATAAATGTAGACCCTGAATCCACATTTTTTATAGGTCCTACAGTCAATTGATTTCATAATCAATTAAACAACTAATACCATATATATATTTCGTTATGGGATTCTTTTTTTTGAATGCTGCATCAGAAGAGAATCTGGACCTATTCCCAAGGCGAAATATCACTTTATTCTGCCACTCTCAAACCAAAGTCATTATCTTTCATAAATGTAATCATTTTAGATAGACAGTAAGTAAACTCTTTTAGGAATAGAATGGCAGCCTTTTTCTATAAATATTGTATTTTAAAATATTATATATGTTAAAATATATTGTCATTGAATCTGTGATCATTGAAGAACATGTGAGTTCATTCCATTGTTTTCCTGTGAAATTTTGAACTTAGTCGCAGGAATTTTTGGCTCTGGTGGTAATTCTAAGTTATAACTCTCTAGTTCTTATGTGTTCAGAATTGTCAGGAGTCTTCATTTCATTTATTTTGTAATATTTTTGAAAAAACAAACTGATATGATCTGTTGAGTTTATTTTGGGCTTGTTTCCTTCTTTAAACTTTTGAAATGTGACCAGGATTGTAGCCCCTAGATTCTTTTTTCCTACCATGGACATCAATATCTTAAACGAGATCTTCAGGAACTGTAAAATAGTTCTTCCTTTTTAAAATAGACTTAATGTATTTGCCCCTGGTATGTAACTGCAAATCAGTAGGTAGGATCTGAGCATCAAGATACGGTGGTTTCCGGCAATTTGGACTTCTGCCTTTGGTATCTGGTAAGCAGGGAGAATTTGAGGCGCAGTGAGACGGAAAAATAAATGCAACTTCAGTGTATTCTTTCATTTAGGACAAACTGTACCAATCTCTACCAGCGATTCTGAGCTTACTACCATTTTTTTCAGTCTCTGGTTCCTAAGGGTCATTGATTCTAGATTATAAATTAAATATCCAGGGTATAATTCAATATTACCAACAAACCGAAGTAATAACATAGAGCCCTAGACTGTCTTTAAAATCTTCTGCCTGCATTGATGATGGTCTGATATTGTTCTTTACATTTTTACACATGAATATTTTGGTCTTTTTGATTTCTTGTCTCTCTGTCTTGACATAGTTCTTTCTTCTGTCTATCTAAAATGATTTTTCTGCTTTATCTTTGTTATAATAGCTTTAGATGGCCAAATCATACCCTGGTGTTCTAAGATAAGTAGATCATTTTATACTAGAAAAAAATAGGACTGGTCCTTAGGAGAGTAGACCAGCAGTCAAAATTAATGTCTGTTGTTCTGAGGGTGAGGTGGAAGCATGGCAGTAGAGATATTTAGGTGGTAAAAGGAACCTCTGTTGTATACTCTCAAGCAGATTCTGAGCAAGAAGATTGCGTCTATACTCTAACCATACCCATGACAATAATAGCTAACATTGAGCACGTGCAGTGTGGCAGGCACTCTTCTAAGTGCTTTGCATTTATTTACTGATTTAATTCTCACATATTTGTGAGGTATGAGCTGTTACTATCCTGATTTTATGGATGAGACATCTGAGATACAGATATCTCAAATAATTTGCCCGAGGTCACACATAGCTGTTAAGTGGAGAGCCTCAATTTAAATTGTCTTCAGAGACTAAACTACTCAATACTATCCTCTATTGCTTCTCTTTTGCTTGTAGTGCTAGATGTACATCCTGCCTTGTTTGTGATTGGCCAAGAAACTTGATAGGGCTAAGCTTCAGTGTTAAGGCCCTCTTTCCACAGACGTGTAGGCAGCAACTTACACAATCATAGGGTTGGAACAGTAATCTAGCATGCCAGTTTACTGTCTCTCATATGTTCTGTTGCTCAAACTTCATAGAAGTACTGCCCTAATGATGTTTGGGCAATATAACGTTTGAACAAAGAATGGTGTAAATTGGTCTTTTAGTATTAATTTGGCAGTGATACTCAGCATGTTTTAGAGTGGGAAACATTTAGAGGCCCAGAGATCAGTTTTCCTGGCATGATCATAAGAGAGCCTGATTCACAGGAGAGGAATTGGCTTGAGGCAGTGCAGTGGAAGTTTGAAGCAGAACCCACACATTTAGTCCTCGTTCTGTTGTTTAATGGCTTTATAACTTTAGCATTTTTAGGCCTCAGATTTTCTCATCTGCAAGATGGGAGCAGTTGAATAGTATAATCTCTTAGGACTCCAGTCTATTACACTGTGATGTCTGAACTGAATTGTCAGCTCTTTGAAAAATAATAAATTGGAATAAAAATGGAGGAGTCTCTGGGATTCTCTGGATTTTGATTTTGAAGTTATATGAAGAGAAGTGATGGTTGGTGGCTGGGTGTGGTGACTCACACCTATAATACCAGCACTTTGGTAGGGCGAGACAGGAGGATCACATGAGCTTAGGAGTTCACAACCAGCCTGGGCAACATGCTGAAACCCCATCTCTACAAAAAAAGTACAAAAATTAGCCAATTGTTGTGGTGTGACTATGGTCCCAGCTACTCAGAAGGGGGAGATGGGGAGTCGCTGGAGCCCGGGAGGTGGAGGTTACAGTAAGCTGTGATCACACCACAGGTACTCCACCTTGGGCAAAAAATAAATAAATAAGTAGAAGTGGTTGGAATTGTATATAAGGATGAGATACACAAGAGGTAGGTCTGAGTGCTAATATTTCCATATGAATGTTCTGTAAGCACCACAAATCCAATACGTCCAAAACTGAATTTATTTTTCCCTCAAAGAATCCTTTTTCCCTCCTCTGAATTCTGTATCATGAATAATCTCTTACCACCCAGGGTAGGCATTTGAGGGGGTCATATTTGTTCTTCTCATTTACCTTTATCCAGCGTATACTTACATTCTTTTGCTTTTAATTTGTTCTCATTTCCCTAAACCAACCTTTTCTCCATTGACTCTTACTGTTTTAGTTGAGACAGTCATTAACTGTCTAGTCTTCCAACAATACAGCCTTTTCTCTTTCTGATGCACAAATTTGGTCATACTTTCCTATTAGCCTTAAAGTTCTTAGCATGAACACTTTAGCCTGGAAATCAAGACCTTCCCTGAAGAGCCATTGGTACGTTTTCAGCTTCATCTTTGACTGCTTTGCTTTCTGTCTGACGTTTCAGTGATATGCGACCACCAAGGTTCTCATTTTATCATCTCGTTTCATACTACTTTGCTTTTGCTCTGCCTTGGATCGCTTTACCCTGCTTTGCTAACTCCTCTTCTTGCAGGACCAAGTTCACTATAGTATCTCACTGCTTCCCCGCCTCTTTCATAGTAGCTTCGTTCCGTGAACAAAGATGTTTCCTCCAGAATTTTCATAATGTAATCATTTGCTTCATTATGTTTTCTTGGCAGTGAACTCCTTGAGAGGAGAGAGAGTCTTTTTTTTAGCTTTGGACTGGAACACTTAGTACAATACCTGAAATATGTGTACAACCTTGTAAATGTTTTGCTCAGGCACCCTTTCCACATACAAATAAATATATTTGTAATTTAAGAATTATATATTTGTAATATAATTCTAAGAAGAAATGATCAGAAATGGTAGACTAGATGTTTACGGTTATTTCTTAGTCTGATGATTAGGATATTAAATTTAGTACCTGAATGTCTTAGTGAAGGTATTTTAATTTTATTTTATTTTGCTTGTGTGTGTGTGTGTGTGTGTGTGTGTGTGTGTGTGTTTTCTTGAGACAGAGTCTTGCTGTTTTGCTTAGGCCAGAGGGCTGGAGTGCAGTGTGCAATCATGGCTCACTGCAGCCTCTTAAGACCTGGGCTCAAGCAATTCTCCTGCCTCAACCTCCTGAGTAGCTGGGACTACAGGTATGTAGAGCCACACCTGGCTAATTAAAAACTTTTTTTTTTTGTAGAGATGAGGTCTCACTATGTTGTCCAGTCTGGTCTCACACTCCTGGGCTGAAATGATCCTCCCATCTTGGCCTCCCAAAGCATTGGGATTATCGGCATGTGCCAGCATGCCAGGCCTAAGTGGAAGGCCTTGATTACTGGCTGACTTTACTACTGGTTGTTTTACAGCCTCTTTTCAACTTTTAAAGTATGCTTACAAATATTCTTAAAGATTACATTTCTAACATCAGCACTGAAATTGTTGGCTTTTAAATGTTACTGGAAAGGAAGAATGTGGCCTAGCTGAAATGAATCTGAATATTTTTCCCCTTACAGCTCTCCTCCTCACCCCATGGTATGTTTATATTATGAATGAAACCTCAAAGGAACATACTACTATAAGTGAACCAGAATGTTAAATTTTGCATGGATTAGCTGGGCGCGGTGGCTCATGCCTATAACCCCAGCACTTTGGGAGGCCAAGGTGGGCAGATCACCTGAAGTCAGGAGTTCAAGACCAGCTTGACCAATATGATGAAATCATGTCTCTACTAAAAATACAAAAATTAGCTGGTTGTGGTGGCATGTGCCTGTAATCCCAGCTGGTTGGGAGGCTGAGACAGGAGAATCACTTGAACCTGAGAGGTGGAGGTTGCAGTGAGCCGAGATTGTGCCACTGCACTGCACTGCAGCTTGGGCAACAAGAGTGAAATTTCATGATTACACCTAAGACCTGCAGAAAAATGCAAATGGGGCCATTTTAGACTTTAGAGGGAAAAGCTTGTCCATAGAACTATATCAGAAAGGTCTATTTCAGCAGGTTTTCATAGAGGGGGAAAAATTACCTACTTGCAATCTTGATCACTAATGATGTTGAAATTGATCACCAGTCCTTCTGTTCTCTTTGCATTGAAATTTTAAATAGTGTTTGCTATAAATGCTACACTGTATTTTTTAAATTAAAACTTATTGTAACATTCACAGGTGAGAAATATAATTACTTAAAAGTGGGTCATCAGCTCAGAACTTTGAGCTTAGCAAATTTCACTGTCTTCTACCAAAGTAATTGAATGTCTAAAATAATGACTATTTCAGCACGTATCTTTAGTGAATAAGAGTTATAGGTAAGAAACTTTTTCTTCTTTTCTGAAAGTGTTGATGATGTATTGTCATATTAAAATTCATTAATCGTTAAGCATACTTTTATAATTCAAAATTTTAGTGATGAATTTTATAATTTAAAATTTACCCTGTGCTTTTCTAAGTATTTTTAAGATTCGTTTTTCTGAATGTGGTCACTAGTTATTATGATTCAGAATACTAATATGGTAAAAGGCACAAAACAAGACTGAAATTATAGGCTTCTCAATGTAAGTTATTTCAGTAACTTACTGTCTTCTCACCTACCAGTTTCTTGCCAGTGTAATAGAGTAATAAAAACCTCTGTCACCAACCTCCATTGCAGAGATAACAAGAAGACTGTCTTTCCTCTGTTGAAATGCCAGCAATAATAAACATGCTTAATGGGGCTCATTTTAATAGCTGCATACAATTAGTTTATTATAATAGGCAAATGCTAAAATGATTAGCATGGTAATATTCCTTTTATAAGGATATAAAAGGTCTTACTTTGATAACATTTACAACAGTAAGCTGAGAGAGAAAAATCTTTTATGAAATCTTTAAAATGCCAGATGTGGGTGAAGGTGAGGAAGGCAGCAAATCACACTGCCACGTGTGTACCTATGCAACTATCTTGCATGTTCTGCACATGTACCCCAAAACCTAAAATGCAATAAAAACAAAACAAACAAACAAAAAAAACTGTCCTGTGACCAATTTGTTTTTCAAACTGAATTGAAAATGACTAAATGCTTAGAAATAAAAAATCGGTTGTAATATACACATTTATTTCAAAACTTCATTAACTTACTTTCCCATACTTCTTACTTTTTAGACTAATTTTTCATGTTTTCTTACTACTTTCTTACTGATTTTATTCTTAAAACTTATTTTCCTTTGCAATTTGTTAAAGCAGTGAAGTTATACCGTATGCTTGATGTGATGTCGTCTTTATTATTGTGCACAATTAAATACTTGAGACAATTACAAAAGCTTTAACCCCCAAAATGATTGACATTTGTGTATTTTGTCAATTTTTTGTGCAAGTTTTATTCGTTTCAATTTGGATAACAAGTTGGCTGTAAATTATTGTAGTGCACTGCCAATGTAGTGGTTTTACAAAGACATAATCTATTTTAAGTTAGCAGTTTTGCCTAATAGCTAAAATAGGTAGGTAATTTCATACAGTTGATTATTATTAATATTTAGCAAAGTATTAACATTTATAGTCCTAATTTTTAAATATGCCCTCAAAAGATGGAAAAAGAAGGAAGATTTTGCCAACTCTGTATTTCATTAATTAGCCGTGAGAGTAGCTTTTAGGATGGTTGACATTTCTATCATATTAGATACCCTTTTTTTGTCAATGAAATTTAAGATAATATAATCGCTGATTATGTTAAATATATTATTTCTTAGGTTTACCTATTAAGCCTTTATAAAATTATGTATCACTTAACTCTTGGTTAATGGCATGTCAGATCAGGTAGGTACCCTACCTACACAGATTAAAATTGAGTTTAATATATAATATCACAAATAATATTTAGTCATTTCTGTAGGTTCTGAAACAAAGATCCTTTGGATAAGCTAGCGTTTAGATTAAATTGATTATTTTACAAGGTTTTCTGGATGGCATATACCTTTGTTAATGTTATAATAA